TAAGCAAAGTCCAGTGTAGCCTCTCCAGTAGGCCACACGACTTCCTGCAGATTTATTTGATGAGGCTGTTAAAGTCTGAAATTATAGCAGTTTTTTTGCCTTGGTTCATATGTTTAAGAAAGCCCACTGCTTTCTGATAGCTTGGAGGAGCAGCTCTTGCCTTTGTGTTGTCCAAGGACAGTCTGTCAGTAGCTCACACAGCAGAAAGCAGATATGGAGCCAGACCTGACAATCCCAAGTTTACACAAAAGTGTAGCTTTTTACCTGCAAAACCACCTTTTGCTGAATAGGGGTGTGCGTGTTTTCTACTCTTTTGGCAACCTTGATGATCTATGATGATGACTATAGGTTTTTGTGAGAAGAATGAGTCAGAAGGGAAAAAGCTGCTTAATTGATTTGTTTTGCTGCCTGCGAAACACGCCGTGTGGTTGTATAACACCTCAAAGAGATCACGCGTCGGGAAGAAAAGTGATGAACAATTTTCTATCTCGTGTCCCAGCCTTGTTTCCAGTTGGCTGAACAGCAGCTGAAGGACGTACTTAACTTTTTTTTTTGTTGGTTGTAAATAGTGTTTAATTTTTAGTTAGCAGGAGGGGAGCTGCACAGTTGGGAAGGAAATGTTCGCTGGTGATAGGAAACTGAAACAGCTCCTCGCAACCAAGGCTGAAACTTCATATTGGTTCACCTAAAGATGAAAGACTATGAGTTCTCTCGGAGCTGTAATCCTATTACTCTGGAGCGGGGGCTCTGCTCTCCCTGCTGTCCGTGGCTGGGAATATGCAACTTCTTGGCTGAATGCCCAGACAGTAAACCTGCCTTTTAATATTCCGCTCGTGGTCTCGTCACAAAGCTTCTGGCTCTGGAACTTATATTTGGATATATGATACTGTATAAAAATCCAGCACTGATAGGGAGGAGTTGCTAATTTCACATGCTCACAGTGTCACGTGGAATGGTTATTCTCTTCTCTTGTACTGATAGGTTTTCAAATGTTAACAATGTTTTTGTGCATTAGATACCACCAGTTGTGAGGGATTTAGGTTGAGAAAGTAATTTCAAGTTCTAATTGACAAGATCATGTTTAGTCTGTGCAAACCTCCCACCCATCCATCTTTCTCAAAGTACTTCATCTCAGAATTAGGAGAATAAGAGTATTTCTCTATGATTTCTGCTAATGAGGCTGTGCCATCCATTGCAAGATCCGTGCTGTAACACAGAGTTTGCCATTCCCTTGTGCATACTGCCTCTCTGTAAGCTAATGTTTGCCACAGTAACCTTAAATATATAACACAAATAGAAGTTTTGGTGGAAGGATTGCAGTATTTATGTACTGTTGTGTATATTAGTTAATAATGTCTATGTCGTATTGCATTAGTCAGATCTTGGGGGAATGAGTTATTCCAATTCAGTTTTCAACCACCGTGTATGAATCTTTTGAAAAGATTGAATTCTGTTAATGCAAAGAAAGAAATTCTCTCCTCCTTTTTCTTCCTTGTCTCCGCATAAGGCAGGATTGAACCATAACCATTGAAGGTGCCAGTTTGGATTTCTTAGCGTAGGACTGAAGCTTAGATCACCTGTCATGGAAGCAGGATCAAATGTATTTATGCAGAGCATTTGGAATAACTTGAATTGGTAATTGAGAGCTAAAATATGGGAAGAAACTGCTGGGCTGCTGATACAAGAAGTATTTTGAAAGGACAGAACCTCCGAGTAATATGAATGGTTATTTGACTTTTAAGTGTTCATGTACCCAAATGAAAAACAAGTATATGCAAATCAAGACTGTATCTACACAAGCATTTTTGCTCCTGCTCTGACCTTTGGAGAATGTTATGTGGCACAAGAAAGACTTCAGCCAAAGTCTAGAAAAAACAAACATGCCCACACAAAGCTGTAAATACTTCTTGTTCCTCTTAATCCAGAGGGTTGGTTTTTTTTCCCCCATACAATACAGTGCTACATAAATCTTATATGTGAACAGTAAAAGCCTTTCCTACACAGTTCAAAAGAACATCTTTAATATGTACTTCCTACAGCAAGTGATACAGATGGGAATTTTTATAGAGTGGGGTGGAAATGAATAATATCTTATTAAAACAAAACTTTTTAAATATATAAAGCTTTTTCTTTTTTATTTTTGAATGTAATTTGATGTTTACTTAAAATGTTTTATCAGTCCTCAGAAATAGCCAGTGGGAATATGCTAATTCTAAAGCTGTTTTCTTTTAGAACTGGAAAAAAAGTCTGGATCTAGACCTACAAAATTTTACTATCTCAAGTCAGAACAAAGGCGAACATTTGTTTTGTTTACAATTGTTAAGATGCTCATAAAGATAATCAGACTCTCTCTCTAATCGCTTCTGATTTTTAATGAGGTGTTTCAATAGAGCTACCACAAGTAGGAAATAAAAGAAACTTATTCAAAGCAGATTTCTAGTTACTTCAAGCAAAAGAATCTGGGGAAAATCAAAATAGAAAGTACTCTGTCAATAGAAAAAAAGCGATATATGCTATAAATACAGCAAACTTATCACGGGTACCGCATGTAATCATGCACACTAATATACCAGTGCCTGCCTCTCTCTTTCTCTAAGGTGAAACTGAATCTGAAAACAGTAGCATCTGTTATTGTTACTTGATGTAAAAGTTTAAAATAGTTTTAATTAAACAAAATATTATTACCATTATGTAGTTTACAAAAAGAATTGTGTAAAAATGAATTTCAGATAATTTTTCATGATTTTTTTTTAAGTATCCTCCCTTTAAGGTACAGTGGAGAGTGTATGGCTCTGCATGTTTCAAGAAAGTAATTTGACAGTTAATGTTTGAATTCTTTAAAAAGGTGCTTTAACAGTGTTTTTCTGCACATATAAAGCTACCCAGCCTAATTCTGTTGCAGTCAGACATGTGTTTCACCTTTCATGTTTAATTTACAGTGCAGCACTAGAATAGGAAGGTTGGTCTTTCATTCTTGCTATAAAACATGAAACCAAAACAAGTTATGTTTGTGTTGAGCAGACATTTCTCTTCTTATTATTAGAATGTGTGTTGGAAAACTTCTCAGTAGTTTGTTTTCGAAGAGTGTTGTACAGATACCATTATCTTTGTTGTTAAAACGGGAGGGCAAATATTGAGGTTGGGAAGATTAGTTGGTTTTTGTTTTGGAAAGAACACTGAGATAAAACCAAATGTTATAGAAAACCTCTACCCTCAGCATAAGATGAATCAGCCAGCGCTGTGATTATAAGTGTGCTTTGCTCTTACTGCTGTTTTACTGAGTGTTATCATAAACCTTTATCTTTAAATCTTTTATTCTTTTTTGCCACATTGAGAGGGTTATTTATGGCTCTGAATGTAATAATATTTAGACCTTGGAAATAATTCTTAAGAATTCTTACTTGCTGTCTCGTATTAGCTTCTGCCTGTTATTAGTATAATGAGATTAGGTGACAAAAGTCAGGTTTGGGGATTCTTGCTGGGTCCTGGGTCCATCTCAGCTGGGTTTGGGGCCAAGATGCCCCGTGCAGCAGCAGCAGAGAGACAGGACGAACCACCTGGTGATGCTTCACGTCAGGAGTTAGAATTGCCCCTGCAGGTCCGTGTCTTGCTGCTCTGAAGAGAGACGATGTCCCTGCTGCTCTTTTAATTTCATTTGAAAGTCAAAAGCTAGGTGGAGATCTAGGCCTTTTCTTCATGGTCTTTACAAATAATTAGCGAAGTAGACTTCAGTCCTACATCTTCGCTTATTCAGAGGGAAAAGGCAACCACTGGAAATACCTTGACAAATTAGTGGTTTTATGATGGCTTGAGAAAATATACTTTCTTGTTTAAAGTTTACTAAATTCCAAGGTATAGTATTCCTTCAATCATAACTTGCAATAGAATTATTATAAAGTGTGTATAATTTTGTGAGCATGTGTGTATATGTACACACACTTATACAGGCTGCGTGTTTACTATTTATCCCCGACATATTAAGAAAAGTAATAAACTCCCCTTGCCTAGTTTTGGCTAGATTAGTTTCTCAACAACACTCCTTGAATAAGTATTTACATCAACTGGTTTTGTTGGTTTTTGGGTCCCATGTAAATAACACCATAATCGTTTGTCATTTCTCATGTTTGAAAAACGCCAAAGAATATTTAAATGTATAGCAGAAATCCTCTTTTTGGGTTTGTTGGTGGGGTTTTTGGGGTGTTTTTTTTGCTGGGTACCCAAGGTCTTGGTTTTTTGTTTGCTTTTCAAGTCAAAAATCTTGTTCTCCAGTTGACTTTATCAGGTCGGTTGTAGCTCCCCAGCCTTAAGGTGTGGAGTAATAAAGTAGAGACCGGCAGGGTTTTCAGCATGCCCAACGTCAATGAGCAGCCATCTATGGAGTTCCTCCTAGACTTCTGAAGCAAAGAGAGCAAAATACCCAGACAACTTAATGATGGCTTGGCAGCTTTTTGCCATGGGAGCTTCAGCACAGCCCCTGGCTGGAGAAGAGCAGAACCTCCTGAGGACTGGGAGAGGACCTGGTTGTCTGGGTGGCTTTGCAAGCAGCGGTGCTGCCACGAGGTGGGGAGCGTCAGAAGGGCAAGAGCGTGGAGTCTGAAAGGAGAGGGTGGAGGCTACTTAATACTCCCTGCCAAGTGTTAGTAGGTAGGGTTTGGAGGAGCAGCACAGAAATTCATCTTAGGAGTGTAAAATAGTCAGCAGTAGCTATTGACTGCATGATGGTTTAAAGAATGTGACGAGAATTCAGTATTTTTATATTCCTGCCTTTCATTGTTTCTTGACCTCGAGAAAAGTTACTAAACCCTTTTTTTTTCTGCTAGAATTTATCTAGTCTTTAATTGCAGGTACTCTCTTTTTGTAGAGAAGCAAACTAAAGGCAGGAAGGTAGTACAGAAATGTCAAAACATTTGTTGTTTTTGTTGGGTTTGTTTTTTTGCTGATGACAGTTGTCTGGTGGTGAAATTCACACATATATATTTGCTGTGATTTCTCTTCTATAGGCTCAGAACAAAGAAACGAAAGTACTGGCTGCTGCAAAGGTGATTGATACTAAATCAGAAGAAGAACTTGAAGATTACATGGTTGAGATTGATATTTTAGCATCCTGTGATCATCCTAATATTGTTAAGCTCCTAGATGCTTTCTACTATGAAAACAATCTTTGGGTAGGTATTTTTTTCTTCTTTAAATGCTTTTACTTGTTTCAAAAGGTTATTGAAATTACTTTTTTTTTTTCTTGGCTTTGTGAGAAGATCATTTATCAATCACATTTCTTCTGCATTGTCACTAACGTTATAACTATTCAGTTTCGAAACTAATTTGTAAATTGTGATTATGACTTTTAGGAGATTGTCACTGTACAATTGAGCTACACTGAGTCATTTGGTCGGGAGTTTGAATCTGAAATTTGGAAATAAGCAGTTCATTTTGGTGAACAGAGAGAGTTCTTAGTGCTTATTTGTAACGACAGGACTCAGATTTTAATTACATAGAAGAATTTAGAGTGAGATTCAGAACCTGCAGCTGAAAAATAAGTATGTGCTGAAAAGGTCAGCTTGTGACGTATGTTTTTTAGATACAAGTGAATTCATTAGTAATTCCATGAAAGAGAGTTTGCCAGGATTTGAATAATAATTAATGTACTTAAAATCTAGATATTTGTACACAGAAGTATAGCAGGCATAACTATGACTGTGTGTCACTCTTCTGCTATATCCTTTGCACGGAATAGCAGTAACTATGAAAGTACAGTTTTTTCTTTTAGGCAACCCAATGCAATATTTATAAGCACTTCTGGAGTTGTACAAAGAATACATGTTTTTTAGAGCAGAGTTTATAATTTTAAAAGATACCTAAAGCAAGTAAAAGAAAATATCCTTGGAGTCTTACAAATATACTTTATCCTTTAAGCGTGAAAACAATGGAAATGTAATACCATGTTTCCTGATGTAGATTTATTTTCCTAAGCTTTCGGCAAACTTCGTGAGATCTGAATGCAGAGTAAAATGATACTGTATAAAACAGCGGAATAGTGAAAAAATTTCCATGCATAAAGGTCAGCATGAAAACAAATACACACAAAGGCAGAATATGAAACCGGGTGCAGAGGATAAAGATTGGAGTAAAGAGTTTGCAAATGAAATTGTAGTTATATAGTTACAGTGCAATGCAGGGGCATGGAAGTGGCAAAGGGAAGGCTCTACTGATGTGGTAAGGAACCAGAATTTAGTGGTGGGAAAAAAGAAAAGAATGGTAGTTGGATGTAAAATATGTTTTTGCTTTCCAGTTTTAGAAACAATTTCTCTACCAAAGAGATCTTTGTCAGATTGTTAGATCAAACAGCAAATGTTAGAGAAAGAAATTCTTTATTTTCCAATTTCCTACACTTAACTTACTTGGCAGTAGGTGTGCGGAAGGATGTAAACGGAATAATGGTTTAAGGGATTTACAAAGAATTGCCTTATATAACATTTGTTAGTACTATTGTTGGGAGGATTAATTGTAACAGTAGTTTGAAGTAATATGTAACAGAGGTGCTGTGTATATACATGTTATGGTATAAGATATAATTTGAGGTTTCTTCTTTTATGGGCAAATATACTCTGATTTTAAAAGTACTCTAAAGGAAAAAATTAAGATATTATTTCCCAGATACTGACAAGAAATGCTCATTAGATGTCAGGCTCAAAATTTCATATTTAAAGTTCAAAATAAAGAACAACACGTAAGGAGGGGTTGGGTGTCAGTCTTTTCTTCCCCTCCTCATTCCCTTTGTCCACCCTCTTTCTCTTTTGTGTATGGTCTTTCTGTCCTACATGTCAGCATAGTTTGTGCCCCAAAATAGTTGCAGTTTATTTTTGTTTCAAGTGGATACTGAGAACAGGAGATGGAGTTTTTTCTAGTATTACTCAGTTCTGGGATAAATGCCTTGATGCATTGTAGGCATCAATGAAAATGGAGGAAGGTGAATGTAAACATCTAAATTTACTAATTTTCTGTAACTTTTAAGAGTATTTTTCCATATTTTCGTTTCTTCTGAAACAATAGAGGCGATAACATCAACTACTGGAAAATCATGTAGCTCTTATACTTGCATTTTTCAGTCAGAGAGTTTATACTATAGAAGTACAGTTTAATAATTGAGAAATGAGTTTGCAGGGATTATGTAAATCACATTACAATGAGTCAGATTCAAACAAACTGTTTTATTATGCTTTATAAGTTTCATTATGCAATTTTATCTTTGGATTAAAACTATTGTCTGAGGATCTCCAAGCATTTTTCAAATAATTTGCTTGAGGAGCACAGCCCTACTTTTATCTGAGTAACAGTACCAGTATTTTGCAGAGGTTGGTGAAATAATTCATCAAGGCCAAGTAGTCTGAAACTCCCATAATGCCCCATAACGCCCTCTTAATCAATCCTTCAGTTCAGCAGAACTATTTAATTTGTAATTTGTGTGTTCTTTTTTTTTTTATATGCAGATCCTGATCGAATTTTGTGCAGGTGGAGCAGTAGATGCAGTAATGTTGGGTAAGTAAGTTGTTTCAAATAATAAACGTAATAACATTTTTAAATTTATATATATATTTTTAAGACCTGTTTCATATGTGTACTGTTTTGAAATGCAAATATTTATGCAAGTGCTGTGTAATGTGTTGAATGTTGTGGTTTTAATTTAGCATTATCATCTATATCTATGAACATTGTAACTTCTTAAGTTAGATTAATTTTCTCTCGTTTTTAAAATGCTTGTTTAACTTTTCAAAGCACATTTTTGTCTTGATCCTTCCCATGAACGGGATGAGTTATTCTCTCTCCTATGCTTATGGAGCTCTCTGTTGTAACATAATGCATACGAGACATTTGCAGGATCACATTCTTCCCCTTCCATCTTTCAGATTACGTTGTGATAATTTTTAATGCTGCATCAAGCTTAAAGTTAGATTTTTCTGTGCTTATTCTTTAAGTTTGGCGAATGCTAATACCACGAAGTAAAGGATCTAGTCTTTAACATCTCGGTGTACTGTACAAAAGAACCAGTCCCTAACCTGAATAGCTTTTTCACAGTTCAGGTGGGTAGGTGTGCATAGTTCATAACGAGGAGGATTTTGGGTACAAGGGATGAAAATTTTAATGAAAGGAGCAAATAATTTAAGACGAAAGGTTTTCTGACATACGATGAATCTGTCAGATGAATTAATTTTCACATATACTTCTATACTGATTGCTATCAGCACATAACAACATAAAATGCAAAAACGTCGTGTTTATTTCTGTCTCCTTCTCTTGTAGAGCTTGAAAGGCCATTAACAGAGCCGCAGATCAAAGTGGTGTGCAGGCAGACACTGGAAGCCTTGAACTACTTGCATGAAAATAAGATCATCCACAGAGATCTAAAAGCTGGCAATATTCTTTTCACATTAGATGGAGACATTAAACTAGGTAAGTGTGTTGCATATAAAAGTCTTTCCCAGAATTCTGCATGGTCTTATAATTGTGTTTTCCTTTGGCTGTAGTTTGGTGGAGTTCAGTATTTATCCTTTTAGCTGCCAATGTAACAAGGAGAGTTTTTTCCGATGCGTGTGGGTTTCTACTATAAAGAAAATGTCTTTCACTGCTGTAAAGAAAGCACAGATCGTAGCAGGAGTCTCCTGGTCAGAGAGAATAATTTGTTTCTATTAATTTTATTTGCCTCACGTGGTCTTATTCCTCCTCATACAGACAGGAACTATTTTAAGCTTTTGCCAAGCGTAGCTGATGTACAGACCTGTGCAGGCTGTCAGGCCACAGGGAGATTTCTTCCACACATGCATTTAGTGATGTATTCACGTTTGCTAATTAAGATTTCTTTTAAAAGATTTACTTTAGTTTTGAAAAGTGCACAGCATCCCTTGAGGGAGCATTTTGCTCCTTTTAAACTATTTATATTTTGCTTCTAGTACACAAAGAAATGGGTAATTCCTTGGGGTTTTTTGCCGTGTGTGAATGGCAAATAAATTTCCTTCACTGCATTTTACTTTTATAAGAATTTGAGTTTTATTATTTCAGTATCTGTAGGTCCCTCAAGATTTCGGATTTTGCATTTGAACAAGCAGCTCTCTTAATCCATGTTGGGTTTTTTTTTTTTCCCATGGAGCAAATTAGGCTTCTCAAGTGTTGAGCCCATCAACTAATTTTGTACAGATTAAAGACGGCAACAGATGGCTATTTTGTCCCTTTGCTCTAATATCTAGATCTTCATTAAGAAAGTTGTATCTATAATAAGCATATAACACTTATTTAAATGCCATCTTTTTCTATTTCTAAGTGAGAAACGTAGTGCTTTATAGCCAAGCAATATTAACTGCAAAGATGAAGTTGACTTTTGGTTGGATGTTACATCAAGGGTGCACACGTGAGCTTTCAGATATTCAATATAAAGTGAAAAGTCACGTGGAAAGAAACTGTAAGATAAAGGAAAAATCTAGCTTTATGAGAATTTGAATCCTGAAATTAAAAATTGAATGAGTTGTTGAATTAATGAGAGAGCTAATATGCCATGTCTGAGGAATACAGCCTTCATAGGCTAAAGAAATTATTCTCTAATTAAAAGAATTTAACTCGCTTATTGCTGCAGTAAATGCATGCAGTGTCTTGTCCCACACGACCCCACGGTAGCATCACTGGTTTTAGCGGTGGAGAATAACGTTTATTCAGTATCTTTTATTAGAAATGCCATGGAATCTTGGCACTCAGTTACCAAAAAATGAATGTTTTTATCTCACTTTGAAGTTTTACCACCACAGAAAGCTTGGTCTGGAATGCACAGAATTTTAAAAAGACAGTTTTAAAATACAATATGTTTTCCACCAGCCAGTTAATAGCGTTTTCCTGTTTGCTTTAAGCGGACTTTGGAGTATCGGCAAAGAACACACGAACAATACAAAGAAGAGATTCTTTTATTGGTACACCATATTGGTAAGTGCACTGTTCTGCTGACTTCTGAGTATGAACTAGTATCTTAATCTTAAATTTATTGTTAACATTACAAGCTTGATGCAATATAATGTAAATATATTAAGTATAAATATATTAATCTTTTTTTCAGAGCAGATAAGAGTGCATTTTCTGATCCGTTACTTCATTATTCTCTTTGCAGGATGGCTCCAGAAGTAGTGATGTGCGAGACTTCTAAAGACAGGCCTTACGATTACAAGGCTGATATTTGGTCTCTTGGCATTACTTTAATAGAAATGGCTCAAATAGAGCCACCTCATCATGAGTTAAATCCAATGCGAGTGCTTCTGAAAATAGCGAAATCGGATCCGCCTACGTTAGCACAGCCTTCAAAATGGTTAGTATTTTATTTACAACTTTCCCAACCCAATTTGTAGATTTTGAGGCATGCCAAGTCAGATATGTGCTAAACTTACCTTCCTGTTGAAATTTGTGGGACTAGCTTTATGCATAAAGTCAGGTACATACACGATATATGTTTGTACGTGTATACATATGTATCTATATCTCTCCTTATATGGTAGAGACTATGACTTTTTTCTTGTAGTTCTGTTTAGAAGCTTTTATACTGAAATATTTTGCAGATTTTGCGTTACAATATGAGCAAAATAGCTTTTTACAAATGCTGTAATAGTTCTGAAGACCATCTGAAAAAGAAAATCAGGTGAAAGGAGACTGAAGTATTATTATACTAAGAAAATACTTATTATAATAGCTATTATTTCTTTGATCATTTTAATATCTTTGTGATTCAGTTAGTGATGTAGCTGATATGGTGGATTACAAATTCCGAGCCAAAAGTAAACTCTTCTAAAAATGGAGGAACATTTTAAAGATGGGATTTGTGCCACATTGGTCTTTGTGTTTCTGTACTATCTTTGTGTTTTTCTAAATCAGTAGCAGAACCTGGAGTCACAGTGTAAATGCACGTGAAAGCAAAAGAGTATTTCACTATCCACTAGTCTGATGCCAAGACAAAAGAAAAACCACCCCGTTTGCTTTTTGTGCAGGTCGTCGGATTTTAAAGATTTCCTGAAGAAATGTTTGGAAAAGAATGTAGATGCAAGGTGGAGCGCAACTCAACTTCTACAGGTAGGAAGAGTTAACTGTTCAGAACTATTGTTTAAAGGCAAGTATATCTTGTATTTTTTAAAAGCAGATCAGTATTCTAGGAAATATTTCAATAATTTCAAATGAATTCTTGGTACACAATCTGTTTTTAACATTGTTGCATTGATCCTTATTTGGTAAAACCTGATTAAATAATACCAAGATCAGATCAAAATCTTTGTTTATATATTTAGATGTTACTAATTACTTTGCGTAAGTATTTAAATTATACTTTGATACTTATAATGGCTGAAGGAGATATTTACATAAGTAGTCAATTGCTGACAGGTGTTTTAAAAGCTTTAGTGCTCAGCCTCCCTCTGTAATGCTGTCACTGCAGAAGAGCTAAACGAGAGGAGATGTGACCAGGTACATTTGATTCTGCTCCACGTCAGCACGCATTTACTTTATCCACAACACATCCGGCGTAGGGAGAATAGCTTTAAGCAGCAGGGCCAAGCAGAGAAAGAAGATTCAGCCAGTAGAACAGGTAGCTGTTTCTTCTTAAACAAAAGGGTAGAATTCTATGTTGCTGTGAGGAAAAATTGTTCAAAAAAGACGAAGCGGACTTTTTCGAGAAAGACTATTTCTAGATAAAGCTTATCAGAAAATAGTTGAAGTGTGGAGCTGAAAAGAAATGAAGCCTGCTTCCAGGAAAAATAACCTTTTAAAAAATCTTTCCACTTTTATTCTTTGGACTGTGAAACAGGTCAGTATAAATGAATTCTTTGTATTTTTAGCAAGTTTGTTAGATTACTTACACAGTATATATCAATAATAAGTTTCGGTTTTAAAACTTCTTAATACATTAAGACAGTTGTGATTAAGAGCTATGAATCTTCATGTTTAAGGGAACCAAAGTAACATTTCTCTGAAGCTGTGTTTCTTTGAAATTATGATTTTCCCACCGTGTACAGTGAAGTCAGCACTTAATAGCATGCTTTTTTTTTTTCCCCCCACAAGCACCCATTTGTTACTGTTACTTCCAATAAACCAATAAGAGAATTGATTGCAGAAGCTAAGGCTGAAGTCACAGAAGAAGTTGAAGATGGTAAAGATGAGGATGAAGAAGAAGAAACAGAAAATTCTCTGGTCAGTTTAAAACTTACTTTTTTAAATATGCAGCTACTTTCAATCATCAGTCTCCTATAGAGAACTCAGTTTCTGATGTACTACTCAACTTTTGCATCAAGACTTCTAAGAAATAACAGCGTAAACATTCTGTAACCTCATTACAAAATTAAGTAGTCAGCATTTTCAAAATTAGCGTATTCTTAAACTCCTTAAGAACTAATAATAAATAGCATTATCTTTTTTTACATGTATATGTAGTGTAGAATTCTAAAATACAATTTTTATATAAATGGTTTTAAGTCAAAATGACTAGATGAATGAGTAAATGTATGTTTGTATTCCATAAGATGCTTAAAACATTAAGGAAGGTGTGTGACCATTGTACTATAAACCGTGTATGTGATTTTACAGTCTGGCTGCCAAAGAAAAACACAACAGCTAAATCCCCTGTCTTTTATCAAGAGAAGGTTGTGTTTATGAGTGTCATTCTAAAGCTGTTTCAGAATCTTGCAAGGCAAATTCAGTTCCTTAAAGGGCAAAGCCATGGAGTACAGTGGGTTGCTGAGTATAGGGGAGCTGACAACTGTCTCAAGCACGATGAATATGGACAGTGACCACCAGCACCACCATTGCCAGCAATGGTCACAAAGCCAAATCCATCTCCATTCCCCCCTGTCCCTGTCCACCCCAGCAGATCTCCAAGTGTGCTTTCCCACTAACTTCCTCCAGGACTTGCTGTAATCTCCTGAGGCATCACCCACCCACCCCCTCTGCTGATTGAGCTCCTAAGCCATCACTCCCCAGCAGGGTTGGGGTGAAGTCCATCCTGCAGCTCCATTAAGTGTCTCGACACAAGCAGCAGGGTGTGAGACTGTGAGGTAGAGGCATTTACATTATTTACTTGTGGTAGTTTTAAAAACTGCTTGGAGATCCACACTAAGATTCTAGAACAATTCCGTGAAGAAATCCTTTAAATCCACTTTTGAGTTAAAAGGAATTGTTCTCTGTATTCTTGGGAAAACCTTAAGGGGAGAAATGCTCCCTGGAACCCGTGCGTGGTACCGTGGCAAACCTTGGATGTTCCCGATGGCAAACCAGAAGCCTGATCTGCAAATTACAGGCTTCTAACAGTAAATATAGACAGAGAGATACCGCAATCGCTTTGAAGAGTGAAAGGGCAATTATGGTTAAAATTATACTTTATTAGTATATTCTTTTGTATGGCTGTATGTAATCTGATAACATTCATTCATATTCTGGCAGCAGCAATTTCTACAGCTGTGTAACTCTTTCTGCTATAGTTCCATAGTGCCACTTAATCAGAGCTGCTGGAGGTTTTCACCATTTACATGGAGTTTCACAAGGATTAAAAAACAGGCCAAAATATTTTCAGGCATTTTTAAAAAAAAAAAAAAAAAATGAGGAAAGAGATTCTTGTTGATGAAGCAGGTGAAGGTCTAAATATTGCATTTTTATCCGTGCTGGACCAACAAAAACTACACAGCTTCTTCCTGGCCAAACTGGCACGAAGATGTGTGTCTTTCAAACCCAGCTCTAGATGGGACTGCCAGGGAGCTGAACTAATTAAAAAAAAAAAAGCAATGTGGTTGGAAAAAGGCTCTTGAAGATTCTGTTAAGCGTGAGGCAGAGGGCTGACCATGATCCCTTTCCTGCAATCACAGTCTATTTTATTAAATTATGATGGAAGAAGATTTCTGTGAAACTGTTCTGTTCGGAGCTTGGCTGCAATTCATGCACTTGTTCTGTGGTGTGTGATGCCTAGTGAAGTACTCTGAGATTGTAAAAGTCCTATCACTCTCCCTATAAATACAAAAATCCTATCTTTTCAGGTATTCTTCAATAGAACTGGGCTTTAATGAAGTTAGAAAATGGTTAAATATTTTTTTGTTCTTTGAATTTTTTAGCAGTTGCCTGCAGACAAGCGTGCGTCCTCTGACCTCAGTATTGCCAGCTCTGAAGAGGACAAACTGTCGCAGAATGCCTCTGTCCTGGAATCTCTTTCTGAGAAAACAGAAAGTCATGCCATTGAGGACAAAGCCAGCACTGTATTTCCAGATGACAAAACAACTGGAGATGAACCTGAGGATGTTAAATTTCGGAAAACAGCGGATAACGTACGTGATGCTACTGCTGTTGGCGAAACGAAAGTGCAGAATGGCTCTCTGCCAACTGGGGAAGTTGAGCAAGGCAAAATATTGTCAGCTGAAAAGACAAAAGAAAGCCTGGAAAAAGCACAAGAAGATTTGGAACCCCAGAAAGGAGGGAAAGAACTTGACGCTGTAACAAAATCAGAAATAAAGGATGAACCCAACCTAAAAACAGAGAAAGAAAATGATGTGGGAGATGAACAGACGGAAGATAATAAACTGAAAATAGTACCTACGACTGAAACTAGTGTAGAAACTGAAGAAGCCATTTCTAAGGAAACCGGTGAAAAAGAAGAGAAGGAAAGATTCTTGTTGATGAAGCAGGTGAAGGTCTAAATATTGCATTTTTATCCGTGCTGGACCAACAAAAACTACACAGCTTCTTCCTGGCCAAACTGGCACGAAGATGTGTGTCTTTCAAACCCAGCTCTAGATGGGACTGCCAGGGAGCTGAACTAATTAAAAAAAAAAAAGCAATGTGGTTGGAAAAAGGCTCTTGAAGATTCTGTTAAGCGTGAGGCAGAGGGCTGACCATGATCCCTTTCCTGCAATCACAGTCTATTTTATTAAATTATGATGGAAGAAGATTTCTGTGAAACTGTTCTGTTCGGAGCTTGGCTGCAATTCATGCACTTGTTCTGTGGTGTGTGATGCCTAGTGAAGTACTCTGAGATTGTAAAAGTCCTATCACTCTCCCTATAAATACAAAAATCCTATCTTTTCAGGTATTCTTCAATAGAACTGGGCTTTAATGAAGTTAGAAAATGGTTAAATATTTTTTTGTTCTTTGAATTTTTTAGCAGTTGCCTGCAGACAAGCGTGCGTCCTCTGACCTCAGTATTGCCAGCTCTGAAGAGGACAAACTGTCGCAGAATGCCTCTGTCCTGGAATCTCTTTCTGAGAAAACAGAAAGTCATGCCATTGAGGACAAAGCCAGCACTGTATTTCCAGATGACAAAACAACTGGAGATGAACCTGAGGATGTTAAATTTCGGAAAACAGCGGATAACGTACGTGATGCTACTGCTGTTGGCGAAACGAAAGTGCAGAATGGCTCTCTGCCAACTGGGGAAGTTGAGCAAGGCAAAATATTGTCAGCTGAAAAGACAAAAGAAAGCCTGGAAAAAGCACAAGAAGATTTGGAACCCCAGAAAGGAGGGAAAGAACTTGACGCTGTAACAAAATCAGAAATAAAGGATGAACCCAACCTAAAAACAGAGAAAGAAAATGATGTGGGAGATGAACAGACGGAAGATAATAAACTGAAAATAGTACCTACGACTGAAACTAGTGTAGAAACTGAAGAAGCCATTTCTAAGGAAACCGGTGAAAAAGAAGAGAAGGAAAGCAGAACAGGTCTCTCAGAAAGTGAGGAAGAAAAGGTCCCTGCAGAAAGTGCTACAGAGCAGAAGAGAGAAAAAGCTGAAGGTCAGCAAGAGGCGATGACAGACACCACAACGGAAGCTCTGCCCAGTGCTGCAGATAAAGTGGGTGAGGAAGAAAAGGAACTAATAAAGCACGGAATTGACAACATTAAGGAGATGGGTGGTATTGCTGAACCACAGATCAGTGATGGGGATAAAATACCTGAGACGGAGGATAAGCCAGTGGAAAGTCAAGCTAAGCAGGTCCATGAGATAATCAGCTCTGAAGAAACTCCATCGGAAAGCCACGATGAAGCAATCACAGCAGACAAGAAACCAGCAGAAAGTGAAAACGAGGATATTTGTGTTATAAGCAGCACAGAGGAAACGGAGATCAATGACTCTGGAAAAGACAAGGTAGAGCAGAAGGCAATGCAGAGCAAGCCTGAGGATATTTCTAATAAAGTGGTGGATAAACTGACTGATATGGATCAAAATTCAGAAGAGCACACACCTGAGAATATCCAGGAAAACAATATTCAGGTAGAAAAAGAACAGTCAGCAGTTACTTCTGATGAAATAATGAAGAATAAGCTTCAGGATGCTGCCAGTGAACAAGCTGATGAGTCCGAAGTCACTCCAGTCCCCAGTATTAGTATTAGCACTGAAGAAAGTGAGGGGAAAGTCAAAGTGGATAATGGAGACAGCACCGAGACTCTACAGCAGCTGGAATCAGAGAATTTGAAGGAAAATGATGCAGATTCGGGCACCGGTTCCACAGCTGATAACAGCAGCATTGATCTGAACTTGTCCATTTCTAGTTTCCTTAGTAAAAACAAAGAGACAGGATCAATATCTTTACAGGTAAGTGTAAGCAGCCATATATTTTTATATAAAATCCCATGTGAGTGTGACCTTAAAATTATCTCCAAGTTTGAGCTTTGCAACAAAGGAAATTAGTGGGTGAGGAACTGGTCTGACCTGTGGAATGTAACACTTGTAGAAACCAAAGTATTCCTAGTTGCCTGCTCCAGCAGCGTCTGGGTTTTGTGCCATTGGGGCAGCAAAGCTAGAAGCTACAGAGATGCTAATTAGTTTCTTACTTCGTTGTGTAATTGTATTTTAAAAACGTAGATTGGCATGTAACAGGAAGTCTGACATTAAAGGTGAAGGTTTGTGAACGGTTGTAGGTCAGAGCTGATATGCAAGAAAACTAATGCAACGCCTTGCTCTGCACGGGATCCCTGTTTAACGGGACAGATCCCTTGTAACATTTCATTTTCTACTGAATTCCTGCCACTTCCACCTTCTGTCTGTTCAGGTTCAGAGGCTGTAGGGCAGCTGGGCTCTCGGGGTTGTGTGTTCCGTGGTTGTGCTGTGTCCGTGCGGTTGTGCCAGTATGAATGAGCTTAATCACAGGAAGCGCATTCCAGATTATGAACTTTATTTATATCTTTATACTAATACGATTATAGCCATATTGGGATAGTAACGGTGCAACCGTGGGCTTGAAGAAAAAAAAATAAATAATCAAACCCCCCAAAATCCCCAAACAAAAATCCTAACTTGGCGGAGCTGCGCTAAACATCACTTCAAGGAGTTGGCGTTGCCCCAACGCAACGGAGACGCAGTTTCACTGGGATCTCTCTTCTCTTGTAATGAATCAACAGCAGCTCTGGGAACAGAGATTTCTCCTTTTCTACTGGCAAAATCATCACATGATTTTTGACTAATAGATATGAATAAAAGAAAAAAACTTGCTCACTTAATTAATTTCCAGATAGGTAAATTGCAGTTCTCTTTCAGTACCGTTGTTCAGAATTAAATACTTTTTCTTAGTGACTGAGAAAATTATGGTCAAAAGCAATCAGTAATTACAAGTGCCTTCAGCTCTTGAAAATAAAACTGCATAGTTCTGTTCAAGGTTTCTCTAGATTATTTTTTTTTTTCTTCTAGCAATCTAAGTGATCAATAATTACAGTTTTCCTTTGCTGACTAGAGAAAATTTCAGTACATTAGAATTTTTCAAGTTCTCACCTGCTTATCAGGTGCCTCACTAATCAAGAACTCCTGATTATTTTATGATAGGCTTCCACTGTAATATTTGAAGTAACATAGTAGTAAGAAAAAGGGAAAAAAAGATATAACTTAGAGTAAGTACAGAATAACTTACCAGTGCTTTATTCAGGAAACCAGAAGGCAGAAGAAAACCTTAAAGAAAACTCGGAAGTTTGTTGTTGATGGAGTAGAAGTGAGTGTAACCACCTCAAAAATAGTTACTGAAAATGACTCAAAAAGTGAAGAAATGCGATTTTTACGGTAAGTGTTTTTAAAAGTAAAATTTACAATTTAATGTTTTTCTCTTTGAATAAAAGAAGGGGGCTAATAATATTTCTGTAATATTTGGGGATTCATTTCAGTTATTTTGTTAGTGGAAAGGAATGCAAAGTGTTTTTTACTAAGACAATCAATCCAAAACTAGTTTTACGGGACATAAACTGTAGATGCTTTTTTCATCTGTTGCGATTTTCCACTTCTTTTGTTTTCCCATCATTATTAACTCTTCTTTTTCATTCTTAGACGTCAAGAGCTACGAGAGCTACGGCTCCTTCAGAAGGAGGAGCAGAGAGCCCAGCAGCAGCTCAGTAACAAGCTTTTGCAACAGCGCGAACAGATGTACAGACGTTTTGAACAGGAAATGACAGTGAGTTTCTGCATTTCGGTGCTCTTAAAATATGACCTCTTGATGGAGTAGGTAGAATACTGCCAGCAGCAATCAGGTGTTTCCTTCTACGATGGCTCTAGCTTAGTTTTAATTTTTCTTAATAAATGGCAACATTTTCAATTGTGGGGTGCCCAGCTTGTGTGCTAGAACTCCCTGCCAGAGCAGTTCCTCGTGGCCGTCCCCTGCTGCGGTGCAGCCCTTCCCTGGACAGGATTGAGTTTTTTAAATGCCAAATTGTTTTTACAGAGTAAAAAGCGACAGTATGATCAAGAAATAGAAAATCTAGAAAAGCAGCAGAAACAGACAATAGAGCGCTTGGAACAGGAACACACCAATCGGTTACGAGACGAAGCAAAACGCATCAAAGCAGAACAGGAGAAGGAATTGTCCAAATTCCAGAACATGCTGAAGAACAAAAAAAAGGAGGTAAGAGACAATGATGATAATACAGAAAATAAGGAGTATGGGTGTAGCAAATGGGTGAGCTTAGGTCTCCCAGAAGCCACGTCAACCTCACATGCTCTACTGAGTTGTGGAAGGGTTACCAGCAGTCACTATTATGGCTTTGGTTTTACTGCCTAAAGTGAAATACAAACAGCTAACAGGAAGATTTAGATGCTCATTTAATTTAGAAAACATCACCAAATTAGGAGAGTTTATTTTTCACAGGATCTTTAATAATATTACTTTTAAAAAATATTATTAAATATTATTAAGTAATTTTTTCTCAAATATTAAATGAAGAAAAAGTATCTTCTCAAAGAGTATGAAAAATATTTGAGAATTCAACTTTAAACAAATCCAGCTAAAGCTACTTAGTAAATACCAAATTACGGTTTTGAAGAAAAAGAATATGGTCTTGATTACTGCCAAGAACTACTTAAATTCCAGAGATGGGGTTTTTTTCATTAATTTGTTAGATTTTTATTGAATGTGTTCTGTTGTTGTTTAGAGTTCCTTTCTGTGAAGTGACAGCAGTTATATGGATTTAGTTTTTTAACTCAAAAAGGAGAGAAAAGTCTGGATAACTTTTACAGTTAATTTCATCCCTGGTTGTTCAGTTAAGGCAAAATGAATGACGTTTGACACTGACACCTTATGCTATTAATTTGCTTGCTTTACAGTAAGAGAAGGTGATGTGTTTCCATATGGATGTTGCAACTTAGAAGCTGTTTTATTTCATTTTCAGATCAATTATGTAGTGCTTGTCTGTATATAAATGGCTCTAGCGTTTGCTTTAATAGTTTCCAGACTCACAGAGATTGCTTTAGAAATCTGTACTGTCCGTGCTTTTGCATAGAATGATCCTGTAGTACAAAAGTGCATTAAAAAATCTAAGTTGTATTCAGTTTGAACCATAAGCTCGTATGTAAATAACAATTTTTTCTTCTTTTGCGGTACCTCTTGCATTTTTGAGTCTCTCTCTGTTTACTGGTGATTGGGTCCTCCATGGGAAAGCGGGAAGACTTTTACGTATTGCTCTCAGCTAAAAGCAGTTCTTTCATGGAAGCAGGAATAGCATGTGGTGATTTGGACTCTGTTTGCTGATGGTGCTTCCACTATTAAACAAACAGGCGTTTGTTCTGGAGCGCGTAGTTCTGTATTTAAAGCTTAAGAAGGAGATTTACAGTTGGAAGGAAAGTGCAGCTGGGGCTCTAAAACTGCCCATCTATACTGGAGTGGGCCATGTTACATCTTTAGCGTTCTTAAAAATAAATAAAACACATGAGCAAATTAAGAGATTAATAGTTTAGTTCAGATGATTTAGCCAGGTTATATTTAGAGTCTTTCTTCTAATCTAGTCTAATTCACCTTGGGCTGAAACACGTTCCGTTCCAGTGTACGTGTCATGAAAAGTTTCTTGACAACATACTTAGTTATGGGAGGTTTTTGCTTTTAAGTTCTTCAGAACCAAACACAACCAATTAATATTTTATTCGCTGTTATGCTTATTTTAAAGACCTATCCTGTGTAGATGTCATTTGTGGTTGAAGACACTAATAATGGCATCTTACAAATTCACGTTTGAGACAGTGTCAGAAATAGCTGGTTTTCAGTGGAAGTTATTTTAAGCTTCCAGGCGTTTTTCACAGCTTTACCACGAGGGAAACGTACTCTCTGGTCCTTCTGCCTTAGTGCTTTGAAAAAATGGCTCTCTGGCCGGTGGTGGTTTCCTTAACTCTTGACTCTTGTGGCTGCTGCCTGGGAGCAGAGGCTGCCGTGGGGGAGAGCGCTGGGCAGCGTTTGCATGCACAGGGCAGCTGGCTTGTGCCTCCTTTCCGTGTCCTGGCACACACAGAGCACCTGTTGTTCCCTCTCTTTTTCAATTAAGCTCTTTTCACTAACCTGACATCCCCGCTCCTGAAGTCACCGCGCTTCCCAGTGCCTCTAGTGCTTGCCCTGCCTGTCCTGTGTTCACCGTAACGCTCGCTCTGGAGAAAAAGTGTTCTTTTCGCCACCTTCTGCATGCTTATATACACTGTAGGTTTTTTGTGAAGTGGAGAAAGCACCAAAAGAGCTGAGAAAAGAGCTCATGAAACGCAAGAAAGAGGAGCTTGCACAAAGCCAGCATGCCCAGGTAACGGCGGCAGCTTCCAGCTACTAAAATACAAGAGGCAGCGGGATTCACACAGCTTGATGGTCTCACTTCTTGTTGTTGTTGAGTGAATATGTACCTTAACTCACACTAACCCTTCCTGCTGCTCTCTCTCGAGTGCTCCCATATTGTACCCTCTAGACTATACTGTGTAGAAATGTAGGAGCAGCCATTTCCAGGTTTGTGCTGTTAATGTTGTATCCTGCACCGAAAAAGAACGGTATTTTTCTACAGCAAGTTTATTTAAAGCACTTTTATGAGTGGTAAGTACCCCACAGGGCCAGCAAATTATAAGGGTTCCACTCAGAAGTCAGTTTTGAGCAATATAAACCCAGGGGAGGGAAGACCAATATCATGTGTAAGCATGAGGTGTCCTGTTCACAGAAGCAGGTGAGGTGAAGTGATTTAGCTGTCACAGTGTAGGTGTGTGGAGACTTCACACAACGTCGTCGGTGATGTCACACCTTCAGAATTGCTGCTCGTGTATGACCCAGCGAGAGAGGGGGAGAGTATTTTAGGAAGACATTGGCTTTGTGATGGCCACAGCTTGTACAGAGTGAGCCTGCACCCCAACAGAGCAGGTTTGGATTGAGAAACTTAGAGATTAAATGTTTATGTGAGTGACCCACTAGAAAATAATGGCAACTTTATTCGATTACGTGTTTAATTCAAGAGGGGATTTCCCAGGATAGAAAGTGATTGGATGCAGCGCTCTCCCCACACCGAGGATACGTGTCTCTGAACTTTTTAAGGAAACAATTAAAAACCCAAATTTTCACAGTGACTTAGTTTGTTCCCTTTGCTGGTTTCAATTCGTTGAAGTAAGAGAGGTGAAAGAGACAATTTTAAGGGTGAAATACCCTTATGTGACGTGATAGAGAAGTACCAGACGAGGTGCAAATGTTTAGTTTTAGAATATCTAGAACTTCTCTCAGTGACTACTTTATGCGATGAGCCTTGACGTTTGAAGTGTGTATTAATAACATACAGCAGATTTCATTTCTTCTTTTTTTTTTAAAGAACAGAAATGTATTTCATTATATTCTGACATAGGAAGTACATTGTGTCCCACAGGGCGTTGCTCAGGTTATGATTCAGTCTTTTCAGTTGTCTTCATGTACGCTTTTCAACGCACAAATGCAGGATGTAAGTCTTCAAATGCAAAACAAAAAAAAGTTTTATTTCCCTAATTTTCCAGATGTGTGTTTTCTCTTCTCCTTCTGCTCATACGTGCTGATCAATGCCACTGCTGCCTCCAAACCAGCTAGCACAAGTTTATGTAATTATGACCTATTGACAGTAAAAAGATGAAAATTCCAGTAGTTGTTAACTCTGGACAGGACACTGGAGTTTCACACAAACACAATATGACACTGTTCTCGGCTGTTTCTTAGTTGTTCAGCACGTGTGAGAAACAGTGTGTGACTTGTGTGCTGTGTGTGCAGTGGAAACATGTATTTTAAAGATACCTGAGTTGATGTTAAGATAATTTATTGGGAAAAAAACCCAAGAGGTAATTTTATAAAGGCGGATTCCCTGGCACTGTCTGCCTTTTCCACCATCCAACATGTTCTTTAGTAAAGTTTGTGATCTTTTTATGTGATACTGGAGTAGCTGTGGGAAGTGGAAAGGCCAGAGTGTTTTCTGAGATTGTTAGCACCATAAATAAACCAGGCAGATCTAAAACATCTTAACATTTCCCATGGAGGGAGAGCAGCAGCAATATTTAGATGTTTGAGTGCAGCTCAAGCATAATTGCTTTTTGACCAGGACTACACCAGAACAGCTTTCACCCCCTCCCTCCAAATCAAAAAATTCCTAGCAAATTAAACACAGTGTTAATTATACGCCTGCACCCTCAGAATAGTGAACTTTTCGTTTCCTTATCCTTTTCATATAGAAAGGGAAACAGAACAGTATTTTTCATGGGTCCATGTGTTTGATGAGGTATATCGGAGTTAATTGCCAGCCGTAGCCTTTCAGTTCCTTTTGTACCCTCGGGGCTGCCACCAGCAGAACGTTTCACCGAGTTCCTCCACCTCTGGCTGTTACCTGTCCTGGTGCAGCTCTGCTGCCTGCTGGGAACGATGAATATTAGAAACTTTCTGTGAAAAGGAAAACCAAGATTCTCCTGGTCGTAATAAAAACAACCAGCATTTAAAAGCATTAAAACCTATGCTCTTAATGACCATTGAATTCCGTATGTTGCTGAGTAGTGCAGGTTCAGTAATAAAATACAAAGATGGAGCTGAGGAGACCCTTCCACTGCTCACCCATAGCCTGGTGCCAATGACCTTTAGATCATGGTAGAAACATCTGAATTCATTTCTTCTTCTTAAAGCCTGTGTGTGCATGCTCGCATGCTTGTAGATGCTGGTTTGTTTTGTTTGGGGTTTTTTTTTTTGATAGTTGCAAAGAAGAAAGGCATCAGTGTGGTCTCAGGGCATGGGAGGGGGATTCCTACCACTGCCGGCTTCTCCGGGGTGAGGAGAGGCTGGTACCCCCTGGGTAAGGGGAGATGCAGGTGATACAGGGATGGCATCAGGACATGGCAAATGGCTGGGTGAGGGGCCAGCTCAGCTCCAGGGTGAGAAGCTCACGTGTCCTGTGGGTAGCAGGTCCTGCCAAAGCTCTTGGGTGTCTTCACAGAGTCCTGCAGAACCCCCAACTTCAGCATCTTTGCAACCGCGACAGGATAAACCACTCGAGATTGAGACAGAAATCTGATCTCCAACTGTGTAAATAAATAGGATCTAACTAATCATCTGAAGCAAAACAATCATACATTTATTTTATCACATCCATGAATAATTAACCCTTGGTATCATGAGATCAGCTTTATATTGAGTATTTGTCTTTGCTGGCTTTGAACCTGCAGCTTGTTTTGAGGAGAGCTGAGAGATGGAATGAATTGCAGATGGCTGGCTGGTTTGGTGCCTTTGGTCTTATTCGGGAAGGTAGTATTTAAACATTAAGTCTACTCGATATAAGAGGTGCATAATTTTATAGGCAAGGCATGTTAGCTCAAATTTTCATAGATGTATTTATTTTCATATATAGCTAATGCTGAGAGAACTGGGAGTTACATTAAAGTGTAATCTGGTTAGAAGAACACAATTTAATTTCCTTCTATTGGTTTTTCCAGGAGCAGGAGTTTGTGCAGAAGCAGCAACAGGAACTGGATGCATCTCTGAAGAAAATCATTCAGCAGCAGAAGACAGAACTGGCCACTATCGAACGAGATTGCCTCAACAACAAGCAGCAGCTCATGAGAGGTACCCAGCGTCAGGCTCTCTTTAAAAACAGACATTTGCGTTGTATTTTAATAAAACCCTGACAGTCCATCCTAACTTTTTGGAATCAAAGACCTTTGTGACTAACCTAGAACTGTAATAGAAGCACTTGCCAGGGAATAGCGTTGTTCAAAGTGCTCTTCTAGGCCCCTTCCAAGCGAGCACTAGTCGGTACGGACCGTGGTGTGTTGCACTCTCTGAACCAGCCTCCTCTGTTTGCAGCCCGCGAAGCTGCCATCTGGGAGCTGGAGGAGCGACACCTACAAGAGAAACACCAGCTCCTCAAACAGCAGCTCAAAGATCAGTACTTCATGCAGAGACACCAGCTGCTTAAGAGGCACGAAAAAGTAAGCGTTGACTTTGACACTTTCTTTTGTATATTAGAATATCCGATTTTTCTATTAATAATATAGAATACAGTAAACAGAGCAGTTCAATTTTTGAAAATGTAAACCAAATGGAGAGGTGATGTGGGATCTCCTTGGTGGTTGCTGTGGTTTAACCCCAGCTGGCAGCCAAGCTCCCCCCCAGTAGCTTCTTGTGCACCCCCAGCCCCCACTGGTGGGGTGAGGAGCAGAAAAGGCCTTGAGTGCTCAGCAACAACCAAACCCATTGATGTGCTCTCACCAGCGTTCCCATCCCAAACCCACCCCAGCTGCTGGAGAGAAGGTGGGCTCCATCCCAGCCAAAGCCAGGGCCGTGACGGGATCGGGAGCAGCCCCCGGGGAGGGTTGTTTTTCACCCTTTGGGTTGTCCCTGTAACGGGGAGAAACTTTTGCAGCAAACTGACACTTCACAACTGCAGTGATGAAAGTTCACTTCCACAAAAGCTTCTCTCTTTGAATAACACTGACTTTTTAACATGCAATTTAGGATTCACTGGTTAAACGTGTGTGTGTTTGTATTCACTAGAGAATTCCTTTTGGGTTGGGCATGATCCAGAGCTCTCCAGAGCCAGTGGAAGACCCCCCTCCTCCCCAGCGCTATCACTAGGACTCAAACAGCGTGTTTATTGATGAAATGAGATGCAAATCTGCTGACAAAGTAGTTACCCTGTAACATTTCCATATGGTTCACATCCTAGGAAACAGAACAGATGCAGAGATACAATCAGCGCCTGATCGAGGAGTTAAAGAACAAGCAAACTCAGGAAAGAGCGAGGCTGCCCAAAATCCAACGAAGTGAAGCAAAGACCCGAATGGCTATGTTTAAGAAGAGTTTAAGAATCAATTCATTAGCCTCTCCAGACCAGGATCGTGAAAAAATTAAGCAGGTAATGAATAAAAACAGTTTTAATAATAGTGTATATGCATCACATAGTGCTTAATGCGATGTAAATGTGAGGATGAGATAGAGGGCCCTCCCAGCGAGTTCGCAGATGGTACCAAACTGGGTTGAGGCACTGGATGAGGCTGGAGGAGCTCATCCTTCCCCTCTGCACCAGTGGGACTCCTGGAGCACTGGGTCCAGTCCCGGGCTCCCCAGTACCCAACAGACAGGGATTTACTGGAGCGAGTCCCGTGAAGGGCCTTGAAGATGCCCGAGGGGGTGGTGGGTCCTGTTCCAGGAGGAGCCCTGTGCACCCTGCTGTGGCTGACCCTGCTTTGAGCAGGGAGCTGATCTTCACAGGTCCCTTCCAACCTCACCCGTCGTGTGATGCTGTGAAATATTTTTAAGAATACTGGATTTTTCTGAGCTTTTGATCTAAAACTGCAGGTGTTCACTCGTTCTTTTGAAGGGAGTGTAATGAGCAGGTTTAGGGGTTTGCTTTCTGTTGATGTACAAGAGTCCCAAGTCACGGTGTTGTATGGAGAGCACTGGAAGGATGAAAAATCTGGAAAATACAGTCTCCTGAACCAACACCTGTGGCAACGCAGCTGTGTCACTTGGCTTCAGAGGGAGATGGTTTCAGGGCGCTCAAAGTGAAATGTGCTGCGTTTTAAGGAAAAATTAGAGTGGAGACAGAGAACTGGAATGAGAGACAAACTGTGAGGGCATTTCCCATGCAAGAATTTTAAAAAAGAAAGAATATAGAAAATAGAGTTATTGCTTAAATCTTTTAAAACCATTCTCTTCAGTTATTCTGTACGTATTCATTCTGTCACATACAGGTTTTTAACTCGTAAACTGTTGCGTCTAGAGGCACAATTTAAACCATCTTTTTATTTTTAATTTTAGTTTGCTGTTCAAGAAGAGAAGAGACAGAAGAACGAGCGACTGGCTCAGCATCAGAAACACGAAAACCAGATGCGGGACCTTCAGTTACAGTGTGAAGCAAACATCAGGGAGCTGCACCAGCTCCAGGTTAGAAAGAGATGGCGTTAAATGAATGTTTGGTGGGAAGACTCAGGTTAATAACAGACAGAGGCGAAGCAGAAACATCTTTTCCTTCATTTTTACTGGTTGGTAAAGGAGTAGAGGGGTTTTTTCAGGTGTGTTTTCAAAGGGCCGCAGCACGCTGCGTAACCACACCATGGGCTTACATCAATTAATGAGAAATCATTTTAAATGCAAGAGGAGCAAGACCCAGAAGCAGACGATGGCTTCTAGAACCTCTATCAAGTCCCTGGTGCTATTTTCTGTAGGCAACTTCTCCTTTTAACCTGATTTTGCTGGAACGTCACTGATCAGAGCAGAGGTGGGGGCAGCACCAGGCACTACCCGCAATTATTTGTAGCAATATATGGAATTAGGTGGTTTTTACAAAGTGCAGGCTGCTGGTTGGAGGAGCTTCTGGCAGGTACTTGGAAGGAATTCTCTCCTTGTGATAATGAACTCTGTTCTGTCTCTTTTGCTCTGCATTTTGTATTCCAGAGCTCAGAGCTCCTTCTCCATTGAATCAGCTTGTCCCTGTGTCAGGGGCACAAGGCAGTTGTAAAACATTAAATGTTCACCTGCTGATAACTTTGGCGTAGAGGAACCTGCCAAGGACCAGTGAAGCTGGTTCCAGTCTGTTCACACTCTCACATCCTGTGAGAACAGTCCCAGCCTGTGCCACTAATGCCTCCCGAAATCCCCGAGCACTGGGGGAGACCGGGGAGAGTTTCTGCTCAAGTAAAATGGCGCAGATTGGGGCTGCTCTGAGCTGCTCCCAGAAACACCGGCCCCTGCCCACGCTCGGGTCTCACCAAGTGTTTCTCAGTTGTCCCTGTGGTTTTGTGCTCTGCATCCGACCCGGCTGGGACTGGAACCCTAGAAAAAGAACATGGGGTTCAGAAACTGCTGTTGCCAACTGCTCTTAAAAATCAAAGATTTGATGTAGCCAAATACTTTATTTTTTTTCCTTTCTGTGCTTCAAAAGCCCTCTGAAAGTCAGGCAGATGCACCTCACGGCGAGGGACGTGAAGCTGAGGTGTGGGTTGATTGTCCTTTGCTTTTTATACACAGCAATTCTGGGGCTGCTTCTGCAAACACATTTCTGTCCTTTCTGAGCCCCGTTTGTGACTCTCGGCTCCTTGGCACCAAGAGTTGAGAGAGTTCCAAAGAACCAACTCCTGTCTAATGGGATGGATTTTAATAAATGATACAAACTGGCTTCAGAAGGCAAAGCAGAAACGCTGCCTGCCCTTGAAAAGCATCGTTAGGGAGTGAAACCCGGTTTTGGGTAACACTGTCAGCTCCTGCCTCAGAGTCCTCAGCCCTGTGTTTGGATTTACGAGTATTTCTTATCTCAATTGGTCCTGATGGAAAGATCAGCTTTTGATAATGCAGCCTCCTAACTTCCTTTTATCTTGTAATTATTCGCGTCACTATTTACATGGAATAAGCTAATTAAAAAGAATTAGGACAACATATGTCACTGTACAAATGTTGAGTTGCCTAATCTGAATTAGTTTTACATAAGGATTACCTTTATCTCGTTTTAAGAATGAAAAATGCCATCTACTGGTTGAGCATGAGACTCAGAAGCTGAAAGAGCTTGATGAAGAGCACAGCCAAGAACTGAAGGAATGGAGAGAGAAACTGAGACCAAGAAAAAAGGTAAATCAGAGCAGTTTGTGAAGCAGGAAATAATCTCAAGTCGGATCTAGCAAAGAGCAACAATACAAAAAGCAGCGCTTTTGTAGAATCAAGCTGCTGTGCAAGACTGCTCTAGTTCAGGGAGTAATAAAAGGTGATAAAAAAAGCTGAGCAAAGGGTGTGTGCAACAAAACAAGGCCTGTGTGTTACCAGGCTCTTGCTGCCTTCCCTCCCACGGGGCTTGTGTGCTTATTTGCATTTAAAACTCCTCAGCTGGAGGTAAATCTGGTTTTAGGAATCTATTTCTGAAGCCGGGGGGTTACTGCAAACCCCGAGCGCTGCACAGCAAGAGGGTGGCAGAGGGTGGTTTTGGTTTTTATGGTTTATTTTAAAATGGAAAGTAGATTTTCGCACACTCCTGAGAAAATACCCTTCAGGCAGATGCTGTCCCTGCCTGGCTGAGTCCGGGGTGTCTTGTTGCAGTTTCACGATTGCTGGGTGATTTCTCTTTGTTTGTGTGAGGGTGTGGGAGGTGACGCCGCTGCATCGGCCGCCGTGCCAGCAGAATAATGGGTTTCTTGTACTTGGCCCTGTAATCCCCTGACAATCTGCTTTGGGTTTTAGACGCTGGAAGAAGAATTTGCCAGAAAACTGCAGGAGCAGGAAGTTTTCTTTAAAATGACTGGCGAATCCGAATGCCTTAACCCTTCCACACAAAGCCGGATTTCCAAATTCTATCCCATCCCCAGCCTTCACTCCACCGGCTCCTAACTCTGGGAACTGCTGGAGGTTTCTTCATCTTTGGAATTCTCCATCCTCATCGTCTGACCTGACTTACTCTGTGGCAAACATCCAAGGAGCCAGCGCCTCTCGTTTTCAGTGGAGACAATCAGTGTCACCCTCGGTTTCTTGACTTCTCGAACGGAAGAGAAGAGAAAAGGTGTTGGTGTGTGAGGGTAACGTTCTGTCCTTCCCATGTTTCAAGAATAAGTGGGGGTTTTATCTCAGTCTCAAAAAATATGTTATCTTTGGTTTTGACTTTAAGCCTAAAATATTAATTACACTCTTTCTGATCGCAAACCCATGGTTTCCCATGTGAACATTTAAAAGGTTGTAATATTGGTTCTGCTCTGTGTTTGTAAGTGTCTGAGTTCTCCACGAGAGAATTCCACAACTCAAACTGCCACGAGAGGTTTAAAATCTTACAGCGTTGAGCAGTGTCTCCATAGCAAGGACTGGAACTAATTACTCAGAACATGCTAATAATCCGAAAAACAAACCCTTACGTTTAAACACAATTGGTAAAAGCAGAAGCCTTTGCAACTTCTTTAAAAAGAAACCTCTGGCATAAATTAAACTGAGCTGATCTCCGTGACACGTTTTGTCCATTAGTTCCATAACGAAATGGGGTGCTAGTTTAATTAATTAATACAGTGCCTGAAACACGTAGATCTGCTAATCCTGGCAAACAGGATGGTGTTTTGTCGTTTCAAAAACCCAACACTCCTTAGCGTTGTCGTTACTGTACAAACCAGAAGATTTCTTGCTGCTACTGCCATTTTTGTTGTAAATCCTCACCCTAAAATATTTTGCACTAAAATATGTAAAGGTGAAAGAAATGCTAACTTTAAAAATGCACAGTTTATTATTTTCCTTAGCTATTACAGGTGGGTAGTTCTACAAAAGGAAAGAACTGTAGAATGTATTTTTTAGCAAGCGGTTGAAGGTGCAGGATGCACGAGCTCTCTCTGGTCCTGCCGCGGGCAGAGCCGGTTTCCTCTTCTTACCAAAGCCCCTTCCTTCAAACTCCGGCAGAAAAGCGGAGGTGGATGCTCCTATTTATAAATAACCATGGCTAAAGTCCCGTTTGATTACAATTCTTAGATTTGATTATTATTTTTTTTTTATTTCAGTCATTTTATTTTATAGAAAGATTTAAGTTAAATATATAGACAAACTACTTTATGATGCTGGGTTGGTTTTTTTGTTTGCTTTTGTGTCTCTGCGTACTAACACAGGCAGGTGTTATTTTTTGAGCTGGTAGATGTACAATAAGTTATTTACCCGCCTGATCTGCAGCGGGGAGACAAATCCCCAACATTTCCTGTAGCTGGTGGGGAAATGCAGCTGGAGGAGGTGGCTTCTCCTTTTTGATGGTTGGAATTGGAGTTGGACCAAGGCCGTGTCCTGGGCTGCCCTTGGCTCTGCTGGAGCTGGGGTTGGAGAACAGTATTTGCTTCCTGCAGTGGGAAGCCCAACTCCGTCCTCTCTGGGGATCCCCTGCCCATGGTGGGTTTCGCCAACTCGTGCTGGGTGAAGGCCACGGGAGGGTCATTCCACGGGAGGGTCATTCCATGGGAGCAGTGGTCGATCCACAGGAAGGAACTCCCAAACGGACACAGGACTGGAATGGGATGTGGGTGAAATCTCGGATGCTGAAATCCTTGGACGCTTGAACCGATAACCTGATCTCAATGAAGACACTTAATTTACAGCACAGTTAAAAAAAAAAAAAAAATTGGAAAATGCATGTTTTAATTTAAATTTTGTAACTTTTTGATAGCATAATTACTTTAATAGCTAGCCTTAATTTCTGGCATTTTATTATAGAAATGTGTATTGTGTACTGTTGTAAATTCACAGACCATATCTCTAGAATGTTCTCTGTTGCTAAATGCAAAGTTCTTTCAGTTGGTTTTTTTTTCAATAGGATGAAAAATGTCTTTGAAGGCCTTTTACTTTTTAAGCTCCACCGTCATAAATTCACATAAATTACTAAAATAACATTAAACAATCTTCATCTCTGTCTTTAACAGACTTTGTTTGCAGCTGGGTGTGCTGCAGGCTCCGTGCTCTCCTGGGGGAGCAGACAGGGCAGGCAGGGTTCTGCTCCGGGGTTCTCTCTACCTTCATCCTCAGAGGGAAATGTTAACCTTCTCCTGAGGTTTTTTGGCAGTTTCAGTGAAGTTGTGAATAGACATCCTGTTCACCTCCTTCAGAGCTTTTATTTGAGGATCCTTTTCACGTGAGCCCCTGCAATCTCATCTCATTGTACGTTGGACAAATAAGTAACTGAGTTCTGTGCTGGAGGGAGAGATCGAAGGCGGCGACCGAAGCCTTAGTGGGGGCTTGGGGAGGTCTCCGGGCGTGGAGGGAGGTGGTTGGAGCCTCCTGAGCTCTGCTGAGAATCCCTACCAAGCCTGAAAATATGTTTCTCTGAGGGGTGAGAGGAACTAGCAGGGGTACTTAAACACTTAGACTGATAAAATTGGGTTTAAGTATCGTGGAACATGAAAGAGGTGTACAATATTCTATCAGTGTCACAGAACTCAATTCAAATGAATTTAGTCTCACATAGGTGTGGAAGAGATCTCCTGAGATACCAAATCCAGTCTCTCTACAATCATGTCACCTCCCTTTAATACAGAAGCTCCATCTCTGAGGCAGTCGGGTGTATTTACCTCACCCAAACCCATGGACTTTCTCACTGAGTCTCTGGCAGATCTCGTTGTCCCCACGTGCTCTTCAAAAGGTGACCCCAAATCAGTATTTGCTCACTTTTATGTTTTACTGCATCAGAAATGCTGCCCCCAGGAAAATGAACAAAGGCAGTAACGTGCCTGAACCCCAGTGTGATCTTGCATTTACAGCTGATTCTCACAGAAGCAGCCCTGTGGCAGGGCTACGGCCTCTGGCGGATTCAGGCCTCACAACTTGTTCCTCCTGAGCTCTGAAAGCAGCTTTTGGCACTGGCTCAGCTTTCCTGGGACTAAGTAGAGGAGCTGATGGCTCTTCTCGCATCCCCGCAGTGACAGGAGCTCAGCTCTTTGCAGGATCTTGTGGCCCCCTGCAGTGACACTGCTGGTAGCCCAGGGAGGTCTCTGCTAGCCCAGCCTCGGGTGGTCTCACTGCCCCTCTTGGTATGAGATTCTGCATCCTGTATAAATGGTGTGTCCCCCCCCCGTGGGGCTGGTGAGGAGGGGTTACAGCCCCGGGGCAAAGGGCTGTCCCAGACCCCGGCCTCCTCAAGCCCAGGGGAATCTGGTTCTTTGCTCTGGTGAAGGGGAAATATCCCAGCATTTGTTCCTCTGTTCCCATATAACAAATTTTTTCTTTTTTCAAACTCTTTGCTGATTATGAGAAGCACATACAGCATGAAAAGATACGATATTGAGGTTGTTGTAAGTGATTAGATAGACCCTGATTTATTAACACCTTCTAAAGGAAAACCTTTAATTGAATTGCAACCTGAATTTATTCTGAGGTGGTGGCACCGCATCACCCAGCACTGCCCCCCACTCAAAGTGATTTTTCACATCACTTTTAAAATACTGCTATTCATTCTGAGCTGCATCTCTGGTTTTTTTTCAGGCAATGTTTTAAAAGAATATCCCTTTAAAACTACATTCATGGGTATTCAGTATGTAATTGATCACCTGGTTAAGAAAATTATACTTCTGTCCCAGAGGACTTTTTCTGTAGTCTAAGGCCATGCTACTGAATTATTTTTCTTAATTAATAGGAAACTTCGCGCCTTAACAGAGCCCGAGCCTGGTGAAGCAGGAGGGTGGGTACGTCCATCACACCATGCTGTTTTTATGACAGTGGTATCACAAAGGAGGCTTAAGCTGAAACAGGGTCTGTCTTGCAAATACCCCAAGGATGCTTTGTAACAGGGGAGATTGGGATAAGGGTTTTTTTTTAAATTCAGGCACTTAAATCCAGTGTTTTGTGGGCTGATTTTCAGAGCTGCTGGGCAGCTGCAGCTCCCCTGGCCTCAGAAACTCACATCTTTGCTGAAAACCGGGGGACAAAGTGAACTGAGCAAATCAGGTCAGTGCTGGTCGCTCCCAGGGAACTGCTGCTGTGGGGTCCCGTGCCGTGGGGAGGGGACGTGAGTGCTCGAGGCCAGTGAGTGGTGACAGGAAGAAGGGGCAGGGGGGATGCTGAGGATGGTCACTGCATAGAGAACTTTCTGCTTTTATGTCAGCATTTACAAGCTGGTCAATTTACTTCAGAATCTGTAATTCTGGATCTCGGAGACTTCCTTGTGTTGTTGTGTCCATGCATATTCCCTGACAACGTCTCAAAACAAGGTCAGTGAGAATTACCCTTCCTGGTTTGGGGGCAAGTCAAGGCCAGGGTGCCCTGTCCTTTCTCAGTCTTACAAAAGATGAGAAGGGACAAAGGCAAGGAGAAGGCAGAAGAAACTTTGTAGTGTTTCTCTATATCTCTTGCAGAGCTTTGGGTTGTTCTCCATCCCCTTTCTCTCACCCCAACCCTCCTACTTCATTTCTGTAGCTACTTCTGTGCTCTGGGCACTCGGTGCCGGAGGAGGATGACAACCTCCTCTGGAAGAACATGCTCAAAACCAGTTGTGAGCAAGGGCTGGTGAGCTTCCGCTGCACTGAAAGCAGAAGGGAGTTGCTGAGCCCAAAGTCCCTCTGATTTTCCAAAAATCCCTCCCCCAGCTAGCAAGCTGGATGGGAAAACCTCTTTCTTACTCGTGAGCCATCCGAAAATGGTGGAAAGAGCAGAAACTAGAAAGGGCCATGGAGTGACCTCTGTGACACTGAACTGTCCCAGCCCTGGTTTCTGTCAGGGCTCCTCTGGGGCAAAGCCCCCCCGGCTGAGGCACCGCCGGCCTCCCGGGCTCCAGCAGTTTGGTGAATGTTCCGTGTTTAACTGCAAACCAAGTTAATTTTTTGCCTTACAGAAAGCAACCAAAAATGGACAGACAGATGGATCATTGGCAAAGGGTCTCTGTATGTACAGCTCATGGAAGTGAACTTGCAGTAGCAGCCATAAAACAGTTTGGGTTTTTTTTTTTTTTTTTGGTCTTCTTTTTAAAATTTGTTTGATTTCATGGCTTTCTGTAGAATATTGTAATAATTCTGCTGTAAATACAATAAAAAAATCAAAGTTTGCTGAGATGGCCTCTGTTTTGTTCATGGAAAACTCTTGTGAAATAGAAGTGATCTGTGAGTGAATGGGGCAATTTCAAATTTTTAAAATAACTGAGTGTAAGAAGTTGTAAATGTTGTGCAGTGTGTGGCTCTGCAGGTAGAACAGCCAGGGTGGGAGGGCAGATTTAGCACCAGCCAAACAGGACTGTGTTTTCTGTGACCACCCTGTCCATGGGAATTCACCTGGGGGTTGTAGCTCCAGTTTCTGCCCCCCAAAGTCCATAGTCCCCCCCCACCCCATGACAGCCACCGCTTCCTACATCAGGAACAAGATGCTCTTGTTTGGCAGCGGAGCCTCCTGAGCAAGGGGCTGCATTACAAAGGCAAGGAGGGGCTGTAGGGGCTGGGGAGGCTCTGACCCCTCTCAGCTGCCTGATCCTGCCCCCTGATAACCCCACAAGCACCATACAGTGGTCCCTGGTACTCCAGGGGTGGCTTCAGGCAGGGGAACAGAGCTGCTGTGCTTAAACGTGACCACACAAATGTTTCCTTCTTGTTGTTTTTAAGGGAGAATTAAAAGGAAAGGTCTCACCTCAGCAGAGGCAGGTGAGGGTGTGACTCACCCAGAAGGACACAGGTTTTATTGGCAAACACTGCTCAGAAAGCTGACCTGGGGCACACAGGCCCTTGCTGTGACCTCTCCTAAGCAACACCAACACTCGCCATTGCTAATGCTGGAAATAAAAATAGACAAGGGGTGTTTTAACCTAGAAAACAAGCAATTCAAGCAATTTTTTTTTTGCTATTAAAAACAAGGCACCGACCTGCTTTGGCCAGTATCTGAAATGAAAGTAGCCCTGCAGAGTGAGTGAGAGTGTGTGTGTGTTATGGTCCCAGGAACACCATAAAGCTGATGTGGCATCACCCACATGGTGACCAGGCATTGCACCAGGGGCTGCCAGCTTCCCCATCACCCCCCAAGATCCCCCCTCCCCAACCCAACACTAAAATACTCAAACTCCATGAGTATCACCTCCCTGAGAGGGAAGCTGGTGGCTGTCACACCTGGGACAACGTGCAGAGGCTCCTGCTAATGATGTGATGGAAACCACCAGCACCTGAGCAGCAGCTGGGTGTCTGTCTGGGTCACGGCCCAGTGATGAGGAACAAACCAGCCCCCAAACCCCCCAGGTGCATCTGCCCACGCTGACGGTGCAGCTGGCACCAACCACCCAAGGTACAGGGAAGCTTAGGGTGAAAAACATGCTTTAATTGGGCTGTTTACATGAACAATTATTTTTCCCCAATGTTTAAAAACCAGAAAAAAAATACAAAAATATTTTTTAAAAAAGATCAACAAATTTAAGTTTAAAAGTGCTTCGGTTCGGTTCCTGGGCACGTCCCGTCTCGCTGGGTGGCTACAAACAGGTGCCCACCCAGGCTCCCTGCAAAGCCCCTGCACCTGCTGCCCCCCGTCGCTGCCTGAGCCCCAGTGGCACCAGTTTGTCCAAGGAACTGGGCTCGGGGTTAATGCACACGGAGCACCCCAAAACTGCCAAGTTGGGAGGGCATCACTTCCCAAAGCAAGTGCTGGGGTGATGGTGGGGCTGAGAGCTCTGCAGTGGGAGTGTGGGGAGCAGCACCACACAGCTGGGTGGGGAAGGCAGAGCCCGGGCATTCGTCCCCGTGTCCCCTGCAGCCACCAGGCACAGGCTCAGTGTCACTGTTTGGGGTACCTCAGTGCAGCATGTCCCTTCCCAGAGACCCCCGAGCCCCAGCCCCACTCAGAACCACCAGCCCCTGCTTCACCAGGTTCCTGCTGGCAGCGGGCAGGGAGAGCGTGCAGCAGGGAAAGCCCCGTGAGAAGAGGGAGCTCAGTCCCAGGGGTTCTTACAGGGCTTTTTTTTTCTTTTTGCTGGCTAATTGTTAAAAAAAACACAGGTTTTTCCATAGCTGGGAATAAGACAAGAAGCCTGGACGGGGTGAGACAGGAAGCCCTTGCCAACCTGAAGAGACAGAAGCCCAGGAACTCAGGGGAGCTAAGCCAAGGATCAGCAACAGGAGCAAACACCCAGGCCAGGGCCACGCTGGGCACGTGAAAGAGCCGGTCACATCTCAGCAGTGACCCTGAACTATCAAGTCTAAAGGGTTAGTTCATCAGCAGGGATGGTTGAGCATTAAGGCAGTGAAGATTCAGGCCAATTCTCTCTGGGCTGCTGGGAACACTGCCCAGTGCAGAACTGAGCTGGCTCTTTCCTTAAACCCCAACACTGCGTCTTTTTCTTCTGCCCACATACACCTGTTCACCTGGGGACAAGAGAGTCAAAAGGAGGGTTATTTGAAAAGTTCATGTGGGGAGAAAAAGACAAAAGAACCAAAACAACCAAAACATGGGGCCGTGTGGGTTTTCCAGTGGTTCCCAGAGATGGGCTGGTGCCTGGGGAAGCCTCCACCCCCTGACAGGCCAACCCTGCTCTCCCGGGGATGGCAGATGTTCTCACCTTTCTCTCCTTTCTCTCCTTTCGGTCCCCTGTGCCCCTGGCGTCCTGGTGGGCCCATCGGTCCAGGGTCACCTGAAGATACAAGAAGACCACGTTTGCCTTTGAGCACGAACAGGGACAGGCCAGAGTAAGGAAGACCAACTTAAGATGTTGCTTGGGCTAAGATCCTGAAGGTGCCACCTCCACTGTGCAAAGGCTCCACCTTGAGCAGCCCAGTGCTGTCTGTGGGCACAGTGCTGCCTCCTGGGTGTTACAGGGCTTGAGAGGGAAAGAATGGCACTTCTTACCTTTAGGTCCAGGATAACCCCTCTCTCCCTTTTCACCGGGTGGCCCCTGGATGGCACCATATGCTGGAGAAGGAAAGGAAGGAGAGGATGAATGAGTGGGACAAACCACTTGCAAAGGGCCCTGCGTCAACTTAGAGCAGCAGCGAGTCACACTGGGAGGACATTTCTCTAGGTTAGACTGACTGAGAGCAGGTTTTTCAAAAATGGTTTTGGTCCCAACCAAGTCCCAGGGGCAGGCTGTGACCTCATGTCACCAGCACTGCTCTGGGTGGCCTGGCTGTCACCAGGTCTGGAGCTGGCCCACGCTCAGGGAGGGGAATTTGAGAGCAGAAGGAGCAGATGCCTCATGTGGACCTACATGTGCCAGCCCAGCCATGATAAAAGGGGCCACAGGGGTTGCAAGCACAGTGGCCTTCAGGGTTTGGGATGAATCTCCTACAAGTAGTGGGAAAACCTTCCTAATGATGAGACTGCACCTCCCCAGCGAGGAAGGCAGGGGATGGGAAGGCTGTCTGCCTCCAGCTTTTGAATGCTGACTGCGTTTTTGCAGAATGCAAAGGTGAAAAGATCACTAGAGCCATGAAGAGTTGGAGAGATCTCATCTGCATGAGCCAGAAACACAAAGTCAGTATGTCACTTACTTCTAAAGAAGTCCATGAGGTCTGCGGTGACATTGCCATAGGCTGCAAAGACTCTGCTGATGCCAGGGGGACCAGGAGGGCCGGGGGGACCTGCGGGTCCCTGTGCATTGTAAGACATCAGGTCCTGGAGAATACCTTGGCCTGAGGAATTAAAGGTGTCATTTGAAAGGAGCTCTAGGAAAACTGTGGCTGGATGCTGAGGCGGGGAGGTGTAAGGGAGAGCTGTGGGCAGCAGGAGGGCTGAGGGAAGTGAACAGCATGACACCAGGCACAGATTAGGGGCTGGGACAGGGAGGGTCAGGACAAGCAGACATTGCACTCACTCTGCAGGCTCTCTGACACGCGGAGTGCCAGCTCATTGTAATCCAGGGAACCACTGAAGGAGCTGCTGTAGGATCTACTGGAACCTGCCGATCTCCTGTGTGACTCCTCCTCTGTCAGCAACCCATCAAATGACCCATCACTGCCCATGACAGCATCATAGGAGCCATCACTGCCCACTGAGGCACTGTAGGATGACATGCTGCTCCTGGAGCTGCCATATGAGCTGCCTGTGCCTAGTGATCCCCCATGGGACCCCTCAGCACCAAGGGATCCTCCGTGCATCCGCTCGGAATTCCGTAACCCTTGGTAAGATGAAGACATAGACCCAGCCACCAAGCCACTATCTCCTTTGGGTCCTGGTGGTCCCCGTGGCCCAGGGGGCCCAGGTGGCCCTGAGATATAGCTTCGAACTTCATCACCTGCAAAATACAAGAGGGGAGACTTCAGGGACACTGGGGTCTGGGGGCAGAGGTCCCGTACTACCGCCTCCATGAAAACTGGAGTGTGAAATTCTGTCCCACCAATCACCAGAGTCACCCTCATCCAGTGCCATTTCTCAGGCAACAGGCACTTATGTCAATTTTGATCTCTCCAAATGGTGTGACACCCTCCTCTTTCCCAGCTCTCCCACAATTTGGGGTGTCCAATCTTGGAAACAGCCCAACGATTTTGCAGAAGCATGCACTCCTCTCAGGCCACTTCCAGCACCTCTGCCAACACAGATGTTCCATGACCAGTCTCCCACAAGTCAGGGGCTCCCCATGTTTTTGAAAGGCTGCCCTGGGTGCCTTGTCAGCATGAGGCCTCAGCCCAAGCTGCCCCACAGCAGGCTCAGCGCTGCCCTCCAACCCCCACAGCATCCACTGCTCTGTAGCCAGGGGGTTGTCAAAGAAAATCCTTTTCTCACAGCAAAACTCTGCAGGTGTTGCTGTTCACTCAGGACTTGCTGTTCAGCACAGGCCAATTGTAACTGCCCAGCACCTGTCCCTTCTGGCTCACAACAGGGAGTTTTGCCTTGTATGGACTGAGAGGACACAAGCCTACAGGGTGCAGAGCAGTCCTGCGTAGACCTGGCTGTAGAGATAAGGTGTTGCTGCAGCCCCAGTTCAGAGAAGGCTTCTACAGAACTGCCTCCTCTGTGGCAGAGCCAGCAGCCTACACGAGGCAAAGCACGGCTCAGGGTGTGGGCAGGGAGGATGGATGGTGTCCCCTTACTCTTCAAGTACTGGATCAGCTCGCTCCTGAACTCGTCACTGTTGGTGATGTCACCATAGGACAGGAGGCCGGTTCCTGAGAAGCCTGGTGGTCCCGGAGGGCCAGGAGGGCCAGGTGGACCCTGGACTCCAGAGAAGGAGGAGTATCCTACACCTTGAGAGAGAGGAAGAATTACTTTCTGACAGTGAGAGGACAAGGAAATCACACATGTCTAGGGATCTTGAAAATTTAAAGGCTCCAACCCCAACTTCTATCCTTTTCCAGCTGATGTTGCTGCAATTTTTTTTTCAAGTGACTTTGTTCTCAGTGGGCAGTTACAGCCCCAGGAAAGCTAAATCTCAGCCTCAGTCCCCCAGAGTCTCCCTGCCAGCTGTGAGAAACACAAGTGCTTTACTTTGTAGATAAGCAGAGACGTCCTCCAGAGAGGTGCCAGGTGATCCTGGGATCCCTGGAGGTCCTGGGGGCCCTGCAGGACCAGGGGGCCCGACGAGACCACTGAATTCAGAATCTGTAAGATACAAGGGAAGAAAAGGAGTCACCCAAACCACCACAACCCTGAAGAACCTTCCCTGACAATATAGGTAAAGCCAACCACAACCAAGTATAAGGTGCTTTTTTCTCCCCAGCACCTTCTGGTGCAGCCTTCCTGGTACTTTCCTGTGTGTAAACATCACATTGGGATGTGAGGAGATCCCAAAGAGGGTAGAAGAGCCTATTTTTAAATATACTTCTAAAAAGTGGCAGATGCAGAGAAGATAAAGGGTTCCTCCATCCTCATGACAGCACCTTGCTGCTGCTGCTGCTCAACACAGGAGCAGGGTGATCTGCCCACAGCCCCTCGTGGTCTGTGGAGGTCCTGGCAGAGCCCAGGTGGCCTGCAGTGCCACTAACTAAGGCAGGGGACCATCAGAGGCTCATAGAGGGTTATTTGTGGCGATGGGTAAAAGGGGAAATTCTGTGACTGAGCCTGTAAAAAGAGATCCTGGTGGTGTGCAGGGACATGTGGTGGGGGAGTAAAGACGTTGGCTTACTTCGCAGGTAGGCTGTCAGGTCACTGTAAGATACACCAGGTGTCCCCGGAGGCCCAGGTGGTCCAGGGAGCCCAATGCTCATCCCAGAATCTGCAAAATCAAACAGAACCAAGATTAGTACATTATCAGAACAGGGTGCTACAGCATGACAGAGGCTGCAGGGCTTCTTCACAGGCAATGCAGGGGGGACTCCTGCAAGGAGAAGTGTTCCCAGCAGCACATTGTGTCGAGAAGTGGGGCTCAAGCCCTGTTCTGGACTGGAATTAAAACTTACCCAGTTAATCCCAACACAAAGGCACCTGCAGACAGGCAGGCATCAGGCCTCTGCTCTGGGCAAAAGTTCCACACAGCTCATGGAGCACCTTTGGAGCAGCCCATTAGTGAGATCTGGTCCCCAAGGGCAGTTCAGAGGGAGCAAGCACAGACCAGGCTGTGCTTTTAAGCAGACAGACAGTTGCAGCTACCAGGATTGGGCACTTTAGCACTGCTGTTGGGGATGCTCGAGAGCTCTCACTGCCCTACAGTTCTTCACGCCATGTCACCCCTTTACAGATGGGAAAATGAAGCAGAGCAGTGGAATTTGTTGGGACCTCTAAGTTGGCTTAGATGAAACGGTGTTCTTAAGCTCAGTTTTAAGCAAAGCAAGAACTCATTACTAGAGCCTGTGGACAGTATCTTAGCTACAGGGCACCTCTGTTCTCTACCACGTCTCTCGCAATCCCTGCGAGGAGATCTCTGTACACAGGGATTCCCACAGGTGACACTGGAAGAGTTTTCACTGACAGCATGAGCTCAGAGGGAAAAGCAGAAGGAACAGAGGGAAAAGCAGACTAATAAAGGCCATTACTTGTCAAGTAGCTGATAAACCGTCTGGTCAGCTCATCATAATCCAGTGACAGAGACACGCCATCTCCCCCTGGTCCAGGAGGTCCTGGTGGGCCCGGAGGCCCAATTAGATACCGACGAATTTCTTCTCCTGGAAATGAAAAAAATGCATCTTTTAATACTCTCCAGCTGCTATAAAGACCCCAGGTGGGAGGAGTTCCCAGTCTATGACCTGAGCATCCCCACCACCAGTAGGGAGACCATCAAAACCTGTGGATGCAAAGCTCCTTTCCCCTCTCTCCTTTTCTGAGTGCCCTGTGTATGGTGTCAGGAACATTTGTGACACGGCTGGGAGCCCCCTGCAACTCAGGGTTTGAGGAGGACGAGAATTTAGATTGTTAAAGGGACCTCCTTGTGCTCTGTTTCTTCAGGATACCCTGGACAACATCTTGGGCAAAGGGAAAAGACCATGCTGAGCTCTGTGGCATTTCAGCAGCCCTTTGTCTGTTTGGAACATGGAATCTGATTGACGGGCTCACACAGGAGGACTGCAGTTCTGGCCAGCATCAGCAATACCTTCAAGCACAGCAAAATGACATCCTGGTGATTTATCTATCAGCCCACAGTAGCACCGTGTGTCAAAGAATACAGAGCTGGGTCTTCTCACTTTAAGAACAAAGACTTTGGAGTGGGCAAGAAGGAATGAGGAACCCTAAGAGAGCGGAGGAGCTAGAAAGTACCAGTCCAAGGTTTAGTGGGAGATTGGGGGAAATTGTGGGGAATTCCTGAAAAGGAGGGACAGGGAGGCAAGAGAGCAGTAAACTGCAGAGCTACAACAGTGGGTATGAAAAGCAAACAGATAAGAAAGCATAGCTCCTGGAAAGCATGGAAAATCTCCACTACAAAACACATAGATCTGCCTCCAAAGGACTTGGAAGGAGACATTGCAGGTCAGCAGCACCTATGGCAGGTCTTTGCCCTCCGAAGCAGCTGCTGGTAACTCCAGTTGGAGACAGAAGGGAAGGGCAGGTCACCAGGCTGCTGGGATGCTTTACCCCAAACCCCCCTTGAGGATCACTTACTCTGCAGCATGTCCAGAAGTTCTTGGTACAAAACGGATGTGGTTGATACCGAACTGGCAAATGACTGATAGCGATCTGAAGAGCCTGCAGGGATGAAAAGGTTTTATGTCAGGCAGGGTTAAGAGGAGACAGAAGGTGAAGAGGGGTCAGGCAAGGACAAAGGAAAGCTGAATTAATCTGGTTTAACTGGTGGAATGGGCTTCCCATACCACCAGCTGTGAATCAGACAGTGTTTCACACAGACTGGTTTTCCTCACAACAGTGTGGTCTGTGCTTTTCTGACCAAGATTGCAGGCTGCTTCCACAAGCTCTGGGAATTTAATCTACTTCAGGAGGGCTCCAAGCATACAAGACAGCCCCAGGATACCTGAGACCAGGTATAGCCACCTCTGGATCTTGGGATGTTAAAGGGTCTAACAGCTATGTCCAATATGAGACTTTTTAAACAGCAGCAACCATTAGTTAATCTAACCATGGTTAATTTAACCACCAAAACAGGACAATGCTCAGAGGGCACCTCAACTGTGTGGAGTCCTGGGCCAAGACAGCAGAAGACAAATAACTGGGATGAGGTGCTGCTATTGACAGACTGTTGTTTCTCCTCTGATTCTCCCTTCCAGGTGTTGCACAAGCTCAGCCAAGAGCATGACTCAGAACAGAGCTCACCAACACGGTGCTTACTTGTCATATAGCTCATAACACGGGTGGCCAGCTCTGCATAATCCAAGCTCGTCCCATCTGCAGTGGTGATGACTCCAGGTGGGCCTGGAGGGCCTGGTGGGCCTCGGACACCGGTCAAATAATGCCTTACGTTGTCACCTAGGTAGGAAGCACAAGATATGCCCATATCACTAGAGGGAAGACAAGGGCCATATGCATAATTACTGGACTCTCTTCCCCCAGCAAAAAGCAGGCTGATTGAAGGACAGTTCTGCAGAGGCCACAGCAGGCAACACCACTTTGTAGGATTCAACAAAAATAAGGCCAGATCGGTAGGGCTGCTGCTTCTAAAGGGAGTGACAAAGGACCCAGGGAACAAAAGAGAGATAGGCACGCATCTGGTGACCCATGGCAAAGATCTCATTTTACTCACTATTCAGGTAGTCAGTGACATACTGCTGAATCTCTTGAGATGAACTTCCTCCTGGGCCAGGAGGACCAGGTGGGCCAGGAGGTCCTGGGGGTCCCTGAATTTGTCTTGATCCACCTAGAGAAAGCATTGTAAGGAGAAGGAATGTTTTTGGCATGGTTGGGTTAGACCAAGTGATGCTACAGTGTGCTTGCATTGAGGCCTTCCCACAGGTCTGGGAAGGGCTTTGGGAATGGAGTATGGAGACCACACCCCTTCGTCCTTAAACACAAGTCCAGACATCTCCCTGGCTTCATACCGACAGACCTGGTCAGTTTGTGCACCAGAGCACACCATATAGATGGAGATCCATAAAGTACTCAAGCTCATTAGGCTAACCTCACTACCCTGCTGCTCCCAACCCCAGCCAGACTGGGCAGCACCAGCTCAAGAACCTCCTCACTGGTCTCCATTGCAAAATACAGGTGGGCCCTAAGTGACTCCTGTCACCATAGTGTTGAGTGACACCTCATGCTCTTTAAGGTGTCTGTCTTCCCAACACCCTGAGGTAGCATTCCTAGGACACGATGTGGAGATGCAGAGGGCTTCTTCACATGGAGGGACACTTAAGTTAATCCATATGTATTTTTTGTGAAACTGCATTAATATCTTGCATACAGAGATGCTCTCATTCAGAATGAAAGCAGCTTAATTCACATGAATCCACCAGAGGGTCAGTAAAACTGAACAAAGGGCACTTTTGTTCTGATCAGAAGTGTTTCCACAGGAAGGTTCAATGCAGCTTCTCTAATCCCTTGTGGAACATGGTTAGCCAACCTGGAATCCCTTTCTTTCATGTCCCATGAGGACAAACTCTGGCTCAAAGGATTTCCAGTAAGCTGGAAACAGAAAACTTGCAATTCTTAAATTGTCTGATTTAAGGTAGGCCGTGGAAAAAGAGGTTATGAACACAAAAATCCATCAGGTTAGGTTGCCATGTACACTTGTAAAACCCAAAGGAGGTTTTTCAAAGCCTGCACCAGGAGGTCAGCACTTCTTGATAATATCAGAGCAATGATGGTATGGCCTCTTACCTCGAGATGCTCCTGGGATGCCAGGGGCACCTGGGACACCTGCATCACCTGGAAACCAGAGTCAGGGAGACAGACAGTTATAATGGGTGTCACTGCATGTTGTATACTTGGTCATGCAAAACAGTTGAGCTACATGTCAGAGAAGCAACTACCCAGCCCTTGTAATGACTATTTGCATTAGCAACTTGTTAGGGAGAAGCAGAAGGGAGAGGCCACAGCAGCTTTCCTGAGCCTTCTGTGATCTGCCCAGGTGCCTCATGCTCAGAGAATTCTATTGCCACGGTCCTGCTCTGCCTGAAAAGGCCGGGGGTGGGCACAGCTCTAATTCTCAAAGGACCAGGCTTCTCCATCCTTTAGTCTCCACCACACCTGGCTGTGCAAGGCCACCACCAAAACAAGAAAGAAGATTTTTAACTTCACCTTTGGGTCCAGGTGGGCCTGGCAGGCCTGGAGGTCCCTGCATGGTAACTCCTTCACCTGCCAATTGCAGAAGGAGAATCAGAGATTCACAGGAATAAAGCGTGTGGACAAAATCCTGGCTCCATTAAAATTAAGATAGATTCAATAGAGCAGGATTTTGGCCAGGGACAATGAATTTAGAGGAGGAGAGGGGGCACAGACGTGGGAGAAGAATGCTGACAGCCCAGGCTCACCCGGTTCTCCTGCAGGGAACACAGAAAGAGAGGATCAGTCACATACACAGGCACACTACCCTGCACCCCACTGATATCTCCTGGAAGCCTCCTTACCTGTGAATCCTCGTGGACCTCGTTCTCCTGTGAAGAGGGGAGCAGAGGAACAGTGTTAGCATTTGCTTTGTTCTGATCTGCAACATCCCAGCCCGCACCACAGAATATTATCATGGCCTACAATCTGCAGGGCAGAAATGGGTAAAGGGAGTAGATCCCATCTTTGCCTGCCAGCTGAGACCTGAGCTACATTTCATAGGGCTACCTCCTTGCATTGAATTAGCCAAGTCCATGCTGCATTTTGCAATCCTTGCTAATGGCAAATCTGTGGCTCTGAATGCTCCTGAATCTAATGGGCTTGCAAAGTCAGATCTGAATATGGCGATTGCTTTGACACCAGTACTGGAGGCTAATAAGTTACTCTGATGAAGACTGACTTGTTTTATGGCAGCAAACAGGAGCCCTATTCAGTGACCACTGTGCTAGCTTTCTTGCAGCCACAGAAAGGCAGGACATTTTCTGCTTCCAAGCCCTTCCTTCCTTCTTTTCAGTCTGAGGTGCTGAGATCCATCTAGTACCTTGGTGAGGCAGCATGATATACCCACCTTGGTCTCCCTTCGGGCCTGGTGGGCCTGGTGGACCTGGCGGGCCTTGTAAGAATGTTTCTGTAATTAAAACAAAAAGGTTTCTTCATGACCTCCAACTGAACATGACACAGGTTTCCTCTGGCTCCAACTAGTTCTAGCCAAGGATGTGCTCTCTGGAGCCCCAACAGCCAGGACATTCCCAGGCCACAGGTGAGAGAATGAGTGGGAAGAGCCTACCTGAGGTGGATATAGAAGATGCTGATCTCCCTGGTGGGCCTGGAGGTCCTGGCAATCCTTCTCCTAGGCAAAAGGGACACAAAAAGCTTTAGGAAGGATAAGCCTTAGCAATGTAAACAAATGCATTTCAGAGCTGCTACATCTCCAGCCATGGCCATCACTCAAATATTTCCAAGTGTAGGGTAGTAATATGGTTTTCTCTACACACATCTATCCCTATTAGTTATTTTTCATGATCGTTTGCCACCACAGCAGATACAGGACAGAGAAACACCTTTCTTTGTGGTCCAGAGTGTCTATCCCAGCTGGCCTTCACTACATTGAGAAGGAAGGTTCATTTCATCACACACCTGACCTGTATCCCTTGGCTACTGAGCAGAGAGCAAGGAATGGGGTTATGCTCCTGTCTCACGTGCTCCTGCACCTCCCCTCTTCTGGCTGTGAAAGGGAAATCTGTGCTACAGGAAGTGAAGTGGGGATATGTTCCTCACAGTAAGAAGTGCTCTGTCTGTCCCCAGCTGGAAGTTAAGGCTGGACAAGTAAGAAGTAAACATGGGGTTGATTCCAGCTACTTCCTTTGGGAACTTGAGAACGTTAAGTGTCTTCCCTAAGAGTTTGGCTTTTATGATTTACTACTCTGGCTAGCAAACCTCTGCCAAAGCAGATTTCCTCTCTTGAGCAGTGTCATGCTCCTGTGAAACTATATTGCAGTGAAATTGTGTTGGTAGGAACCCATTATGTGAAATTCTGCTTCCAGTAGAGTCAGCCCTACTAACTTCCACCAGATCCAAGATTGCATCTGGGATACCACAAGGCACAGGACAGAGGCACTGGAAAAACCTCCCGCTTTCCAGTTTTGTTTCAGAGAAACAAGCTCTTACCTGGGGGACCACGAGGTCCGGGGGGTCCCTGAATAGATTCACCTGATGACAAAAGAAACAGGGGTATTATAGAATATTTACTCACCAAATTGTATGGCCCAGAAACGTGCCATGTGTGTTAACGTCCCCCTGCTTATGTACTGACCTCTGCTGTGTTACATACCTGGTGGTCCAGGGGGACCTGGTGGTCCTGCTCGCCCTTGTAAATCTGCCATCACTGTGCAAATGAAAAAGGGAAAATTGTTGCTATGGAGCTACTGCTGCTATGGAAACACTGTCATTACATTGCTGTTAGAAGCTCTTACACTCAAAGGTGGACTAAGGCAGGACCTGGATGACCTAACTCAAAGTTGAGACAGAGAGGGGAGAGAAGTATTCAATTGGCAGCATGCAGGTTAGGACATGAACCAAAATACAGTGCTGAGCAGGCTGGCAGTGTATTAGAAACAGGGAGGAGACCTCTCTGGAGAGTAATGGTTGCTGAGGGAAAGAGCAAAGGACTCAAAGGCTACAGGAAGGAAAGAACTTTCAAGGAGAGGAAAGATTCTTTCAAAGAGGAGCAAGTTTTGGGAGGAGAACAGTAAGCAGCCATTATTTAACAAGTAGCTGCACTCTGTTATTTGACTGGAGATGGATTTTTACTTCCAAGCCACAGCACACACTCAAAGTTCAGTGATGCTGAGATCCAAGACTCGGGAACAGCACTGAAGCACGGTCTGAATCTACATGACCCCATTCAGATGGTGATCAGGCAAGAACCATTTATGACTTTTATGCCCTCCCCTACCTCACCTCTCCTGCACAACTGCAGAGGTCCCAGACCCTAGGAATACTGACTGTGAGTGCACCACACATTTGGTATTGCACAGGGCAAGCAGACATTTTTCTCAGGATGCTGTTAAACCACTCTGCTCTGCTTCGCTAATTTTCATCTTAAAATAGCATTTGCTCCTCTGTGAGTTTGTCCTCTAATTTGCAGCAAGATTCTGATTTCAGTTGCTCAGATTAATGTGCCTTTTCAAAGTGATTTTCCTCTTACAGGTGGCTCCATGTTCATATTACATAGGGAACTTCCCTGTCTGAGCACAGTGGCTAAAAGGTCAGGCTGAAACCTCACAGCTCTGTAACCATCTCTGCTGCTAAGGAATGTTCACCACTCACCATTCCTCAGCTTTCCTTTTCCTGACATGGGCCTGATGCCATCTACCTCCTTTTGAAAGCTCTTGGGGATGCACAGGTGAGAAGGAGAGCAGAAGGAGTAGCTGGTATTGCTGTCCCACCACCAAACATACACACACACACACTTCCCCTATATCATGTTGAGTGGAAAGAGGTAGAGTCATCTCCTGTTAGCTGTGAGCAGACCTTGTGGCATCTGGCACCTCTCCAAGCAAAGGAGTGGAAAGGCAGCCCCACTTACTTTGAGATGCTAATGATGAGACTTCTGTTTTGATAGTTTCTATCACAGTTTCACCTGGGGATCCCTTCTCACCCCGTGGACCTTTTTCAGGGGAAAAAAAGAAAGAAGAAAATGAATTATTTAATTGAGAGACATTTTGTACCCACTCCTCACCTCCTCAAGAACAGGCTCAGACTTTGCTGAACTGGGAGCATGAATTCAGTCCCTGTCTCTGAGGGGCACTGTACTCAAATGTGGAAATTATGGCACAATTTGCCCTAACAGGATCATAGAAAACTGGCTAAGAAAGGTTTTCAGGAGTCAGTTCTGTTCAGACCATTCCAAACAGATGTCTGTCCAATTGACAGGGGTTTCACAGTGACATTATTCCCAATTTGGCTTGAGTTTGCTCTCCCACCTTTCAAAATGGCAGGTGGTACCCAGCTGGGCTATATTCCCTACCACAGAAAGGCAACTGCACTTGAGAGGTGCCTTAGAAATACCAACCTCCAGAAAAAATAACATGAAAAAGAGACATTTGCAGCATCCACATCATACTCGCTTTTATCAACCCCTTCTTCCCCCGGGAAAGAAAAAAAGAATAGAAATTCTTTACAAGATTAATTACACCAAATAATGCAGCAAAATGAACTGAAAGGAAAAAAGTCTGCAAACAAAAGGGAGAGAGATTGTGCCAAGGGCTGGGAGAATTAGAAACAAAGGAAAACTAATGAATTGAGTTATCTTAAGAAGCAGAATCAAAGCTGATGGAGAATAGTACCTTGCTGTCCAGGGAGACCAGCTGGTCCAACAGGACCTGGTTTCAAAGGAAAAAAACCAGATTGCATTAGATTTTCCTGGTTGTATTTTACAGTAGCTGGAAAGAATCAATAGTTCTTTTATAAGAGCTGAAATTATAAAATAACGTATTTGCCTGCACAAGTAAATGGAATTGCTATAGGGTATGAATTCATCAATGTCCCATGTATTACTTGAAGCTCTGGAAAAGAAGCTTATTTTCCACCATGTGGCAATTTAGGTGCTTGGTGCCTTTTAGCCTGGGGAAACAACCAGAATGTCACTGACCACAACAGAAATGCATTCCGGGCTGCAAATCAAGGCTGGCTCTACCAAACCAGCTCCAGAATCAGCTCCAGCTGCACAGCTGGGAGTGGCCCAGAACTGCCATGAGAACCAGGGCTCAGGCGGGCTGGAGGGCAGTGTCCAACCTGGGGCAGAGAAGCCTGAGGACCAAGGGCATGCATAGCCAGTGTCTGTGTGTGTTTGCATGAAAGATCTGTAGATGCTCTATGTGGGATTTCTGCTGTCTTGAGTTCAAAGCTAAGACTGAAAAACAAGCACTTCCTGATTTCAGTAACAGTGCCAGGAGAAGGATTAGACACAAGCCTGCTTTCCTGAGAGGCAAAAGAGCTTGATTCGACCTATCACTACTTTGTACTCATCAGATCAAACAACACTGTTTTCAGTTTCTTCATCTTCTCAGCCCTCCCTTCTCTCCTGTGACTGTATCCCATTTCTCCCTTGAGGCTGCCACCTCCCTAACTCTGCCTGAGATCTTGGTCTTTCTGCAGGGAAGGGTGAGGACCATGAGTATCTAGACTGGCTGAGCAATCCTGCCTCCCAGACAGGGCAGCCTGGCAGAGACAATAAACATCACACATTAAGTTATGAACTGGATGCACAGCAATGCAAACTGCCTGCAAAACCAACAGTAGAGGAGCAGCTTCCTCACCTGGAACACCTGGGGGTCCAGTGGGGCCAGGTGGGCCCGGGGGACCTGGTGGGCCTGGCAGAGTGATAGTTGACGAACCCTCTGAAACACAAACGCATACACTTGCACACATATACATATATAGACACGTCCAGCAAACGTGTAACAAATCTATCCTTAAAGAATCACACTTCTACAGAATAAGTGCTCTCCCAACACAGGGAGCACCAGTACAGGTCTGGCACACAGCTGAGATGAATTTAGGAGGCATAACAAAAAGCAGAGAAAATCCTCCAAAAGCAGAAGTGCTTGAATTCTCACAGCACCACATACCAGCACTTATGACTTTTCCGGGAGCTCCAGGTTCTCCTAGGAAAAGAAAGAGACAAAAGATGAACTTCTCTTTGGGGAAAGATTTGTCACTAGCTCAATTACATTGTCTTATTAAGCATTTGATTTCTGTTCTCTTTGTCCTTGATCTCTTGTCTGAGAAGTCATAGTACTAGAAGGTTATGGGGGAAGCAACGGAGCTCAGCTAATCCAGAAGATATCCTCCAGCTTTCCAAGAACTGTATTAGCCTGACTAGGTGACAGGCCTTGATCTGTCTGAGGCAGGCACCCAGCTTCCACTGTGGTCACCAGGCATCACACTCATATGCTCAGGGCAGAATCAGGTTTGTTAAGGTTTTCTCAGTGGAGAACTGTCACGCTGAGTGCCTCAGCAGATGCCCAGCATTTCGTGTGTGCTCAAGGAGGCTTTGCCTACCGTCTGTTTCTCAAACCTTCTCTTTCTAAAGCCACTAGATGCCACTGTTGATTCAGGGACTGGTCAGCAGAGCAGATAATTCTCCCAAAAATGAAATGCTTAGAGAGAAAATAAGTATTAGGGAAGAAACAAAACTCACCTTTATCCCCTGGTCGGCCTGTGTTGCCTGGAAGTCCTGATATGAGGTAGATGAACAATTTAAAATGGTTAGTGCAAATATTGTTTCTTCTATTGTTTCCGGGTACCCCAGCTGAGTTTCACTTGTGGGTTTATAGAAGTAACTCCCTACTCAAGACCCTGGTTTACAGCTTTTATAAGCAGATCCCTGACAGCAAGTGGAGGAATTGACAGCAGACTGTAGACTGAGATGGCAATGTCCCTGGGCATAGTTAAGGGCTTCCCTTCTCCTACTGCTCCTTGCATGATGGCACTGCTCCCTAGATTTGCCTGTAGCTTCTTCCAGGTACTGCTCCCTGTCCTGAGGCTCCTGGATAAATTCCCTGATGACGTGCCCCCCAGACCACCTCTTCTTGCAGATGTCACATCCTCTGTTTTCACCTCTATTGCCTCAATCTCTCCCCTCTGCTTCTGCTGCCAATTAGGACTTTTCAGGGAAGCACAGGGAACTGAAACATGTTGTTGCAAACTATGTTTTGGGGAGAGGCAAATTTTCAAACACTCCAAGGCCCTGCACTGCTCAAAAATTAACACTCCAACCACAAAACCTGTCTCAAAAGCCAAGGGAGATGCAGAAACCTTGGGATATCACTTTGGAAGCCACAAGCACCAGAGAGGAAAAATGACAGGGGATTTTGAGCGTGTATCAAAGGGTGTCATTGATAAACAGTGGAAAAACCTACCTGGCGGCCCTTGGGGTCCTGTGAGACCTGGAAGAAAAAGACAAAATTTCTAAGATACCTAAGCAAAATTCAGATGGGGAAAGGATAGACAGGGAGAAGAAGACTACATCTATGTCAAATTATAGCACACAGCCCACAAGTGGTGTAAATTGGCCTAGAAACTAGGATGTAAACAGAATGTTGGCTAATAGCAGCTGATGTTCTTGTTTACAGCATGTGCAATCCTGAGATCACAACAAATGGTCTAGATTCCCCGTGTGTTTTCCTTTCATCACCATCTTATACTACAGAGATCCTCTGCAACCCTCAACTTCAAATTAAGGCTGGAAATTGTTGACAAAGACATGTGTATTCCCAATGGAGCAAAAAGTATTTTTGTTCTCTGTATGCTTTACCTGGCTGTCCTGCATCTCCAGTGGGTCCTGGAGGGCCTCGGGCTCCTGGCATTCCCATAAGACCTGGTTCACCTAGGGATATAATCACCATTAACAAGTGATTTACAATCTACCAATCCAGTCAAGCTTGGCCACCAGCTGTCCCGCAGCACTTTCTACCTATTGTATCCCCACAGCCAACTGGCCATTTTCAGCATCAGGGTCTGGGAGATGAACATCAATGACAGGAGAGTTCTGTGGTGAGAAGCAGAAAGTCCCTGCATGTCTTCCTCAAAGGAATCCCTTACCTTTTTCACCTGGCTGTCCATCACGGCCAGCTTGTCCTGTCCAAAGAAAAGAGATTGTTAGGGACTGCTGAAATAGTACTACAGTTGTCCTGTCCTACTAAGTGGAGCACAGCCCTAAACACAAGAAAGTGGCTTTTCATCATATTACATCTGAAAGAAATCTTGGCTGCCATTACTGAAGATCCAGAAAAAATTCACTTGAAACTTAACTGTATGACATCTTTCCTGAGTATCCAGACTAATCTTAGCCATCTAGAGAAAAGACCTAGTATCACAGCCAGTGTGATTCTGCTCCCATATTGTTTTCTTGTCTGTGCTCATAGAAACACCCTCTGGGTGAAAATGACATTACCCCTCAAACAGACACAGCTGTTTTCTGTTACCCACCTGGAGGTCCTTTAGGCCCTGGCTCCCCTGGAGGCCCAGGCATTCCTCTTGAGCCTTGTTCACCTGTAGCAAAATGGCATGAAAATGAATCAAACAAATCTTGGTGAAGATATAATTTATGACTGTCAGCAATATTTGGTGCCTTGCAATTGAAAACCAGCATTGACAGGATGCTCAGGCCTCATGATTCGTGACTGTCTCTGGGCATTAAAAAAGCCCAAGTGAAGTGAATACAGGGCATATGAGGGAAAATTTCCCTAAAGCTAAATACAGAAAGATTGCTACCAAGATTACTGGAATTAAGAATGGGGTCTATTTGTTTAAACTTGGGTGCAGAAATAAAACTCTTATAACCAATAACATCATTAGACTTTTCCAGAAAGCTAACTGGGATTGGCTGGGCTACGTTGTCATTTGAAACTCAAATAATACACATATATATTAGATAGGCTGTTACTTCAGGAAAACAATCCACTGACCTGTCATTCCACGAGAACCCTTCTCACCCTGATCACCTGTGGTACAGAAAAGGGAAGGATTCTGTGAGATTGTTCATTGTAAAATGTTTCTACCAAAGAAAATAAAGTCTGCTTTCTGACAAGAGCACAGAAAATACACCCGAAGGAGGATAGGGTTAACACCCATGGACAGTATCCATATCTAAAGGAATCTAAAGAAAATATCCACAAAAGATATTTAATTGATCAACATACCTTTGGGTCCAGGGGCTCCACTGGCTCCTTTCTCACCTGAAAGATACATGGATGATTGAAGAATAGGAATAACAAGTCAGAAGGGAAAGGAATTTCACATATCAAGAAAAATCATAGGGGAAATACAGGTACTCTGATATCAAACAAACTCAAACTGGAAATTCTTTTACTTTGATACATTCCAACCATCCAAACACGTTTCCCCACTGAGATTACTCTATTACCTCTGTGTCTCTTGTATTTCTCAATATTTGCTTGCACTCACTAAATCTAATTCCTCCTCCCCTTTCCTCAGCCTGATGCTGTTCATTGCCCCAGCATCAGAATGCTCAGACCAGGTGTGGTGAGTACCAGGTGTGGTACTCAGAGCAGTGCTAGAAAAGCCCACCAGCTAGTGCTGCTGTAATTGCTGAGAGGGAGAAAAGCTTACCCTTAGCACCTGGGAGACCTGCTTCTCCTCTAAATCCTTGTAGGCCAGGAGGACCTGCAGAAAAACAAAACGGGGCATTTAAAACATCCCACTCACCATTATGCATCACTGAATTAGGATAACTATGAGAAGCTGTCACTCTGGTTTTGTTTTCTTCAGATGCCATAGCAAAGGAATGCAGCACTCACCTGGAGGACCTTGTGGGCCTGGAGAACCCATCAGACCTGTGAATAAGGAACATGGATATTCTTTCAGTAACACGACAATTAGAAAATGAACAATCTCATTTGGTTTGTCCAACAGCATCTACAACCCAATAGGTGTTTAGCAGAATGGAATTCCTTCAGCCACTAGAAGACTTTGCATCACTGGCATCTTCAAAATTAAGACCACAAATCTACACAACTTAGCTCCTTTGTGATGTAGAGGAAGTGGTTTTCCCTACAGTAAGGTGAAGGGACTCAAGACTTCCATCATCATCCCAGCTGAGACACTGGGATCTGTGCTTTAGGTGGGACCCATTTTTTATAGTGCAATTTTTATCCCAGTTCATGGATTGTAGATCTGTAACTCTGATAGAAGCCTGTTAGTGAGATGGACTTTACCGTATTATTTCTGATAGGAGAGAAAAAACAGCTGGAAACATCAAACATCCTAAAGATTGGTGTTTTGAGAAAGGTCCCTGCCAATCCCCACTCTCACTAAAAATCTCCAAGAATTTATTGCTCTAAAGGTTATGTGTATCTACCAAAGTAAATTTTATCTAAAATGAGGACCATTTGTGATTACTGCAGTGCAACACAAGTGAAACAGGAAGGCTGGAGTACTCATCTACTCCTAACCAGTTTGCTAGGTTCACACCAGTTAGGAGTAGATAAGTCCATCGTATTTACCTTTAAGTCCAGCAGCACCTGGAGGCCCAGGTGGCCCTGGAGGACCTGGCTCACCAACAGCACCTGCAGAACAAGAACATTAATAGATACTATGGAATACAATTGTGATCCCATTTTCCCATTATCCCACCTCATGTTATTCTCTCTCTGGCAAGTGTCATGAACAATCTGTTGGTCAGTTCAAAACACCCAAATAAGCATGCATTGTCCCAGAAAACATCCCATCTCACTGGGCTTAAGGATGAGCAAGAGAAATCCCCCAGCTTTGGTGACTTGGATAACGGGGAAGAAGATGACCTTTATACTAAGTGCTTTTGGATCTGCCAAACTCAAACCTGAGAGACCTGGCAAAACAAAAACAATCCTTGTTTACCTATTGCAATTTTGGCCAAAAAAAATCCCTTAGGCCAGATTTGTCTGTATTGGGAAATGTCTAAAATGAAATCTGGATTTAAGTAATCAAATCAAATTCCATCACAGATGTGTTTTATATATTGGGCCTAATCTACAGCTTTTGTCCATCTCTGCTTTATCCAAGAATGGAACATGTAGTTCTTACCTCGGTCTCCTTTTTCTCCAAATCCAGGGGGTCCAGGCTCCCCTCGAGGCCCTGGTAGCCCTTCTCGACCTCTTTGTCCCATGGGACCTTCCATGCCAGGATCACCTATAAGAAACAAATGCCTTGTAAAATAAGGTGTCTATGGGAGGTCTTGGGCAAGAGGATCCATGGCCTTGTCCATGGGGGAAGGGAATGATCACGCCAACCTGGTGTCTGTGTTCCCATGACATGTGTCAATCAGTTGTGAGACTCACAGCATTGATAGAGATGCTTACCCATACTGCCTTTCTGTCCTTTTGGTCCTTCTGGTCCTTGGTGCCCAATTGGACCAGGAATGCCTGGAAAGAAAACCACAACAAATGTTCAGAGTCCTCGCCTGTGTACCATGAAAGAATAACATGCAAATTAGAGGAACCTGAAGCCTGGAAGGATTCATCAGCTGGGGTAAAGAATATATTACTCGGAAGGTGGATACTTGAACAGGGATCTCTTTAGGAGAACACAATACATAGAAGAGCACACGGAAGTTGGGCTGAGTACTCATGCAGCCGTGGGACTCTTTCAAAAGTAGACTGGGATCTTCACGCCCCCAAATTAGGCATGTTCAACTAAGGCTGAGGCCTTGCTTGTAACCAAGTCTCGGAGCTGTGTCTGTAGCTACAGACAGGTATTACTCAAGTGACTTAGTCTATGCTAAATATCAACTCTTTAGAAAACCACCTCGAGCTAGGTTTGCAGTGCAAAATCTGCTCTTGCCTACAGTAATGTCACTAAATGCCCTCTCTCAAAGGGAATTGTACCACTGCTCACCTGGGACACCAGGAAGTCCTCGCTCTCCTGTAGGGAGAAAGAAATAGAGTCAGTTGGGAATAGGTCTTCCCTATTGGCTCACCCTCACCCCCCATTCAAAGCAGTTTGTGTTCCTGGCATGTTTACAAGTTCTGTCATCTCCAGCAATGCCACGCTGGTCCCCCTGTGTTTATGCAATGGATTGAATCATTCACACCACACAAAATCCTGTGAACCACTCTGTGATTAAACCAGGCAGAGACGGGCTTCAGGAACAACTTTCATCCAGATGAAAGAAGTTTCTAGATTCAAAGTGAGATCTGTTTTCTCTTCTACTGTGAACTCTAAAATTGCCTTTGCCCAGAAGAAGAGCAAAAAAACCCAACCATAACAGCAGTCTCTGAACTACAGAATACATCAGCTTCTCTAACTTCTGGAGTAACAAAATCCATTTGCTGCCCAGGCCCTATGACGGGCTGCAAATCCACCTGAGCAAGCAGGGAACTGTGGACTCACCTCTGGGACCTTGCACTCCCATATCACCTGGGGAAAGAATTAAAAAAAATAATATCAGGAGAGATCTTGGGGGTATTTCCAATGATCAGTCATTAATTTTATTTTTCTAGTTGGTTTCCCACCTTCAACGAAACACAAAGGAGTTTTGGGTGAAAGGGACACTTCACACTTGAATAGTGCAGTGTCAGACCCACTAGTGGCAAACAGGATCTGGCCTTTCACACTGGCACAATGCAAGACTGCACCTTCTGTGTTAGTTCTGGAAGGGATAAGGCCCTCTACAGTTTAAGTAGCAAACTAGCTTTACACTCCTTTTGTTCAGGTATAAAACAGCTTCAGCTTTCTTAGTGCCAAGTGCCCCTTGTGGCAACATCCACCCCGAACTTGTGCATTGCCAGAGCCAAGGAACAGGACAGAGGAAGAGAGGGACTATAGGGCTGTACCTTTCTCACCAGGTTGTCCTCGGAAGTAGCCTGTAATGGAAAGGGAAGGGGTTGTTAGAGTGCATTACACAACAGAATAGCTACTCACTATACGAATCCCTCTATTTGGATTTTGAGGCTGCAGGCAACACAGGCTATCAATCTCAGTATGGCTTTGTAAGTAGAGTTTCCTCAGCAAATTTGCTTTTGCAAATCCTTGAAACTTCTTAAGCTGGGAGAATGTAGACTCCTCAGTTCTTAACTTACTTCCATCATCTGCTAAACAGAAGTAAATCATCTATCCCTTGCTACCAAAAGTAGTATGAAAAATGAAATGTGGGTTCATTTTTCTGTGTAGTTCTTTCAAAATGGAAAATTCACATGCCACAGCAAACATGATACATCCTAGCACAGGATGGCATCTCCACAACCTCCTTTCTTCTCCCTTTTCTTCTGCCTTTAAGGGATGCACCACCAGTGCTAGTGGAAGCACTCTGAGCTCCAGCACAGCCTGTCTGTGAGGGCACTATTTTCGACAGGCTTCATTGTACGCTAAAAGTCCTGGTCTTTAGGCCCTTGGGCAATCAAAACCTCCCACTCCCCTTTAAGTAACTTGGTCTCATGCACCATCACAGACATTGGCTTTGCTCACCTCGTTCCATTTCCTTGTTCAGTCTGCTCTTCACCATCAACCACACCGACTCTTCATTTTCATAAGGGAAGGTGGAGGAGTGTTGAGTACCATGAAGAAAGTCTACCCTTGAAACATCCTTTTCTAATTTTGAATTCCCTTGGTTAATTGTCAGGAGGCCGCCATTGATCTTTTCCAGGTTTTCCACACGAGATTTCAGCTTTCTCACTTCTTCCGCTGGAAGGTTAAAGGAAAATGTTAGGGAACATGGTGCCACAGACACACGCCTGAAATACCTACTTCTAACAGCAGGGACGAGGCAACTCCCTCAGATAACCACTTTGTTTTGCCGGATTATTCTTTTTATCTCTTTTACTAACAGGGATATTTGGACTTTAAATGACAACTTTGGAATCTGTTAGTCTATGAGAAGTAAGACCTCAGATCTCAGGAGTTTTTCTACTCTACTCACCCCAAGACTATGTAACCCCTCATCAAAGGTTTATATTCCTTATCTGTTCTTTCTGTCCATTTTGTAATACTTCAGTGGCAGTCACCACCACGCTGAACCTCCTCAGTTCTCTGGCTTGATATCTCTGGTACTTGGCCTCTTTGCCAACTTTCACCCTCTCTTTGTGTTTCTATCCCATTCAACATTTTCTTCCACAGTTTTTTCTTACCCAGAGCAATGAGTCCAAAAAGCAATCCAAGGAGAAGCAACCAGGCCAGAAGCAAACCCAGGAGCCATTTCCACCAGCTGCAGCAGGAACCACAGGGACACCAGGATGGTGCTGATCCGATTGCACCCCCTGCTTCACCATTTCGTATTTCTGGAAGAGGGAAGGGGTAGTCTCCTGGTCAAGGAAGAGCTCCTTGACTTCAGAGTCAAGAATCTCTTAGAATAAGGATACCAAGGTCTGATTCATTATACAAAGGGCTATGGGAAAAAATCTTTACGCCCAACTCTGCACATGGGAGGTGTAATTCTAGTCCTTGTGGAAGCTGGGAACAGAATTCCTGATGGGAGTTCCACCAGTGGACAACACTTGGTGTGTTTTAAAAAAACAGCTGAAACGTGATCCCCTCGAGGTCAATTTTTTGTACAGTTTTGAGCCATAAATGACAGCAATAGCCAAAATGGTCTGTCTGAGCCCTCTCCTCCCATAAATCTGTCCTGGTAGCTGTACTGTTAGCTATCCAATTTTCTCCAGCAATAAAAAAATAACCCAACTGCCAAAATATCCCAGCTGGCACCAATTTCAATGGCATGTGCTCAGCACACTACAGTCAGAGCAGCCTCCTGAACATTCCCTCCCTCTGATGTCACTGCACAGAGATCACCCATGTCACTCAAGAATGGTTGCTTTTTTGTATTTTGTGCTGTGGTGTTTCTTCCAATGAAAGTCTGAATTGTATCACTTACCTGCGTAAGTCGCTTTGTCCCTTGTTGGCACAGATTTCAATGTTCCTGTTTTAACAGCAGTAAAAGAGGTTTTAAGTCTTCCTATACATGATTAAACTTAGAGCATGGGCTTGAGAGGGGAAGGTAGTAAGGGAGGCAAGAGAAAGTTCTATTGCATTTCAACAGGGACCAATTCTTACCATTTGCATCTGATTTTAGGCCGGTATCTGTAGCATAAGAGGAGGAAAATCCCTGCTTCTCCTTCTTCAAGGTGTCTTCTGCAAAGGATCCTGAACAGGAACCAAATATAATTAAAAACATGACCCCAGAACTTCAACCAGGCCTATTTTCTTTCATTGGGAAAAGGAATATCTTTTATTGGGAAAACACAATAGCTTTGCCTGTTTAAACCAGATCTAGGTGTTTGCTTTCAAAGCTCCTGAGCTTTGCAAAATATTTCAAGGCACACTCTGGAGCCTCAAAAGCAAAAGCTTGACCTAGATTGCAGCTGGCATGGTTAAAGGCTAACTGCCTGCCAGAGCTTCTTGTTTGGCTTGCAGGGGCATGAGTCAAGCGTAGTGTCCTGAACTCTGAACTCCCCCTATGATCCGTCTCCATTTCTTTGCCCTCAGCATATCCATATGTCCCAAAGAGAAGTTACCTCCATTAAGCCCAGTGGTGGAGGCACTAAAGACTTTGCCACTGTCCTTTGTCATGATCAAGAGCTCCATCTCCTTCTTTGGTGGGGCATTCTCTTTCTCCAGCAGCAGGAACTTGCAGTCTTTGCGCAGAATGTCATCTCCCTGGGAGGTCAAAACGGTTCCCCCTGAATATTGGTAAAGGATGGGAAAGAGGAGGAGATAAGTGTGGACCACAGAGTCATAATTACAAGCCACAATACTTGTTCATTATAATAGGTAGTCCCATTGTGATTGGTGTTGCTAGTACTGTAAACACCCTGTAAGAGATGCACTGGTCCCTGAGGCTAAGAGGAGAGCTATGGATGTCATTAGATTTCTTTAGAGATATGTATTTCACTAGCAGGGGAGCAACTGATACCAGAAATGGGGAGCATCTGGAATTCAATCACTTATAGAAATTATTTGCTCAGTGTTGTGGCTTATCCCAGCTGGCAGCTAGGACCACGCAGGTGCTCGCGCAGTGCTCTCCCTTCGCCCTAGAAGGGTAGAAGAAGAGTGAGAAAAGGAGGGGAAAGGAAAGGAAAAAAAAACCCACATAGGTTGAGATAAAGACAGTTTAATAGAACAAAAGGAAAATAGCAATAACAGTAGTAGTACCAGTAGTAAAAGAATATGCCAGACACAAGTCACTGTCACCACCTGGTAAATTAGTGAACTATCACTGTCCTGAGCAGTGATGGCGAGTACCTGCCCCCCAGCTAGCCCCATTTATAGACTGTGTTGCAAAAATATCAGTGTGGTCACCCTTCTCCCCTTAGGCAGTATCAAGTATGCCTGGAATGGTATACAAATTTGAATTTGCACACAAATTGACACAACACTGAAAATCAAGATAAACAAAATGATATTATTCCATTATTCTAGCACAAACCTGGAGTAAAACTGTATTAGAAATGTTACCATAACTTCTGTGGTATTTACATCTATTTTTAAGCCTCATCTTTAGGAGTCCTTGGATTACAAACGAAGCTTGGTTTCCCTTACACAAAAAATAAATGACTAATTTATAGCTCTCACAGTTGCACAGAAAAGCTGGAACATTTTTGGATGAAAAGGCAGTAGAAAGACGTCAACTTCTCCCATGAAAAAAAAATAAACCTGATCATGTATAAATCAATTCCTTGTTTTTTGAGTGGTTGAGGCTGACACTACTGCAAAACAATGTTTAAGAGCAACCTTGCAAATGTTTTGGCCTCAAATGAAGCACAATTTCACATGTGATCTTCTATCCAGTTACCTGCTGAGCAGAAAAAGCTGCAATTATATCATCTGAGTTACCACAAAGTTGGAGAGATCTGAATAAGACCAGCTCATTTACTCATTCTTGGCTTCTGGCTCATTTGCTTTCTTTTCAGAAAGGTACTGGTGGGGGACTCAGCTGCTGACATCGTGCTCCTGAGCAGCCAGGTGTTAGTGTCACTCGGCTGGCTGAACTTCTAACTCATTTTTACCACTATATGCTTGTACGAGGCCATGCCTAAACAACTGTGAATGTCACACTCACCTGCTGAAGCAGACACACCAGTACTTGTCACGGTGTTGTTCTGAGAAGTGTTCTTCATCCCATATGCTGCAATGAAAAAATTCGAGAATGAAAGAGAAGAAGGACAAGAAGGTACCTGCACACACTGCACACTGCACACACTGACATTGGGTTGCACACCACTTAAAAAACATTTTCTCACTCAGGACAACTCAAACAGGCAAGGGCTTCCCCAGCAAGCAAATCTCTAGTGCTCACATAGGTACTGGGACCCGTTCCTGTACATGCAAAGCAGAGGAAATGTTCCTCGATATCCCCTCATACCACACTGCTCCACCAAGATGGTAATGAAGGAGCCTCTGTTGATAAGAACTTTCTAGTCACTATAGAAAAGGTGGCAGAAGGCAGCACACATTGGTGACCCTCACACCTTCTCTAGGCTTAAGTTGTTGCTGACCTGCGGAGGCTGCGGTAGCATTCTGGGTCAGGGATGAAGAGCTTGGAGACAGGTTGTTTTGAACTCCAAACACTGCAAAGAAAAACATTTCAATGGGGGTTAGAGGAGTCCTGCAGTACAGATGGTGTTCTAGCTAAAAACAAAACTAAACCAATGACCATAATGACAACCTCTCCCAAGAAATTTCTCCTGTTATCTGGAGGCATCACAGGCTTATGCATTTCTGTTCAAAGATCTTCCCTATAAAATGTTTTTTTCCTTCAATCATTTTGCTCTGTAAGTTCCTGTTGGCCCAGGACAATAATGGTGATCATTTTAAAACATAATCTCAAGTTAGATTGCGAGGCCACTCTCATGGCTGCATGGACATTCCTGCAGGTGAGGCACTTGGGAAAAAGGGAAATTCAGAAAACTGGCTTGGTCTGACTAAGGGAAATTTAACGAGACAACTGCACACAGTATGTGTCAAAGTACTGTCCAGAGAGAAGCAAACAGCTTTGAGGGTAGCACCTTTGGTGCCAGAATTAGTGTGGCAATAGTAATGCAGTGAGCAGGCTGCTCTTGTACACCGTGCTCTGTCTACAGGCTCAGTCAGAGACCCTGCACGATGGCACTCTGCTGTGTAGACATAGTGTGACTGAGAAAGAAAGAGAAGTGGTTTAGTGACATTGAAGAGAGATTGCCAAAAGTGAGCCAGCTGAAGAAAAGGGAAATTACAGGGAAAACTGACAGAGGAGCAGTGGGTCTTCTCATATTAGGACACATCAGTTTATTTTTTAAGTCATTACCCTGAGATGTTCTAGGGAAGAAACAGGCTGGCCTAATAAGTGTCTTTCAAAAGACAAATTATCATAGAATCGCAGAATTGTCTAGGTTGGAAGGGACCTTTAAGATCATCTGTAGTTTTCCCTGCCTCCCAGACACAAAAGGAAGGAGCTAACACCTATAGCTAACACAGCTATACAGGGCTGACTCAGAATAAATCCACCGTAACCAAAGAATTACTGGGGTGTGTGGACAAGCTGCTGACACTGAGATGAGGACCAGAAGAGAAAGAGAGTGATATATGTATTTTTTTATTGTACGTGTCTGCCAGGAGTGTGGTGTTGTGAAAGTGTGAAGGGAAGAAGAGAAAAATCTGACCTGTAGAGGAAGTGCTCAGGCCCGCATTCAGATTATGATTACTGGGAGCCAGGTTATTTGGAACACCAAAAACTGCAAAAAGAGGAAGGGAAATGTTATTACTTCTCTGGAATCAAAAATCAAGCCCCCGAAGGTCAGTGGCACAGTCACAGGACTTAAGAGTCAGAGTCACTTAGAAATGCAGTTAGTGAAAATGCACAATAATTGTACAGAGGAAAAATCTCAAAAATTCTGACACCAAACAACTCTTTTACTGAACTGACAAAGAGGACAAAATCCTACATCAGACAAGTTGCAATCACAACACAGTGTCAGAAAGCAAAACTTTTAATAGTATGTTATCATAAAGCTTCCTGTGACTTTTCTCTGCAGCTGGGAAATGCAGCATCCTTGACATTTAGAACTGGCCTTAAAAGGTATAAGCACACTCAACACTTATATCTTTAGTGTATGAGGACTGAAGGGTTAGAAGGGTTAGGCCCAGTCGTTCTCACAATAGAGAATATTGATAATAAATAATAGAATCCCACAAAGGACTTTCAAATACAGTCAGTGTGTAGAAGCAGAGAGTACTAAGTTACAGAAAACCAGAGAAAATTCAAGTATATCCCCTGCCACCTTGATTCTTCCATCATTTTATTTCTTCTCGCTGTGCAAAAAAAGAAGCACTGCTCTTGACCCAGTTTCAGTATGGAGTTACTTCCTTCAAGACTGGACGGTGCAGGGAGCATACCTGATCCTGCAGAGTGAGACATAGCATTGATCAAGGACGAGCTGTTATGGTATCCACCGAGGGAAGACCCAGCAGGCAGAGTGGAGGACCACATGTACGAAGGGAGGGCAGTATTCAGGATAGTTGTATCGTATGTCCCCGACACTATAAAAAAAGCAAACAAACAGAAGTGGTTTTCAAGGAGAGCAGGCTTGTGGCTTAACATATGTTGTGGGTTTGCATGGCAACCAACTTCATCTGCCTTAAATTTCAATTACCCCTGTGGAGTCAACACAATGGCTCCAGGTTAACATGGTATAACTGATCCCAAATGCCATCTGATTACAGCCCCCCTGAATTTTAGCCAATGGAATAAAGATTGACTTGATAGCATGGCCATTCACAAAACACCTCAAAGAGATTTCATTGCTTGTAGATGCTATGATACCACAATAAAACACTTTGGTCTGCCATTCTGTTAATAACCCATCCTGGGCCATGGGACATATGACTTCTGCTTCCCACACGTGGCTTTGATTGGTTCACTAGTGGATTGGACTCCAATTCCCAGTTTCAGACAGGATTTGAGCCATGTGGAAGAAAAAAGGTATTGTTTGTTCCTAGATACTGGTGGAGGACAGTGGAATGAATGTGAATACCACTGCCTCAAGCACTGTGGTAAGGCTTATAAATAAGACAGGCTGGTTATAGTATTTTAAGTACTACTTCTATAATTATTAAGTTTTAGTGATCTCTGAACAATGTGGTGTGCCAATAAATCAAACACTGACCCAAATGTTGTCTTCAGAGCTATCTCCATCTTGGAGATAAGAGATCAAATCAATCTGAGACATGTTTGCTTAGAGCTCTTTTCTCTGCCAGAAGCACCTCTGAATTAAAGCTGGTGGCAGCAGGGACTGGCTTATTTTTATGGAAATTCGACAAGTCACTAGAAATCTACCCAAGATGGCTCTTGTTAGGACAACATCTGGACAACCCTCCAGCATTCTGACCCTTTTTTTCTATTGCCACCACTGTCTGGGACAGAGACCATGTATTATTACTTGGATGTTCTTAGCAACTGGGTGTTCTTATGGTAAATCACATTTGGAATGGCTCCAGCATTGCTAACCGTCCTCTGCCAAGTACCTGACTGGGAGCTCTCAGTGACCATCTTGGTCTCCACCACAGCCTTTTTCGGGATCGGGAGCGTACTTGACGGTGATCGAGTAGGGCTGCAGCTGGCTGATCGGCTTCCTTTCAGCAAACGTTTCACATCATCCAACTCTGTCCCTGGCAGGAAAAGCAAGTGTCCAGACTCACCCAAAAGCCGTTGTTTCATTCATCTGTAACCCTGCCCTGGCTAAACCATCCAGTGGAATTTACCTGTGGCCATTTATGAAGTGGTACTTACTGGGAGTGCCTTCTGGGGGTGCCACTTACTTAATAACAAAGCTTCAGGGCCTCATTTCTGGGACTAAGTACAACTACATCCTTGCAAGACCACCACCTAACCCACAGCACGCTTCCATGTTCAGAAAGGGGAGACAAATGAGCGTTCTTAACAGGAAAAAATGAGTGACATGCTGCTATCTGTCACCATGAAGACTGGGTCCTAGAGATACTGCAGACACACCCAGAGCAGCAACACCCTCTCTTATACCTGATCCCCCCTGGAATAAAAGCCATGGCACTTACATCTGCCAGAGGGAGAGGCGCTCTGCAGTCGGACTCGTATTTCACTCTCTGGGAAGAGAAAAAAGCAGATCATGAATATGGAGTGAGATGCATTTGTGCCCCGGGCTGGGAATGAATCCTTAGGCTGAAGTGAATTCCTTCTTTCTTCTTGTCTGTTTTCCATCTTGCTGCTTGATCAGAGCAGCACTCATGGCCCATGTGAACTGGCTGTAAATTGGTTTGGGTGACTTCTTGTTCTGAGGTCACATTTGGCTACTTTTAATTCCAGAGAGCTATATTTTACTCATTGAGGGCCTCTGTTGAAGTCAGTGGGATTGTTACTGCCAGGCATACAGAAGGCCTAATCATGCAGTCCTCAATCACATTGATATTCCCACTCATAACAATTATTATTGTCCTTCTGGACAAAACCCTAGAGAGTCAAAAGAAGCTTACTAAATACACAAATTCCCTACCACTTCTTGGGTAAAATTCACACCGTCATCTCTACAACGGGCTGTAAGATTTAGTCTCTTACAACCTGCTGACTTCTCTTTTGTCTCACTGAATGTAAACAGGCCAGTTTTAAGCCAACATTCTCACCAGGTACTCGATTTTATTACTGTCTTCTACTGTCCAGCAAAAGAGACTACAGAGTTAATGGGATTTGGCTGGGGCAACCCACAGGCAAACTGGCCAGGGCCAGCCAGGCCATGTGATACATGCTGCTCAAGATGAAATCTGACAGTGCACGCACTATGAAAGAAACATTAGCTTTGGTGTTCATGTGGAGAAGCTGATGGATTGGAATTATTTTCTGAAGTAATATGAGAAGCTGGAGCTGATCCTCTGGTGTCTGTTTTATTATGTATGGCCTATTTCTGTTGGGAGCTCAGGTATGCAGTGTGCCAGAGGAGACTGTGAAGATCTGAGGTAGAATAATTGGTAACTGTGACACTCTCCAGGAGTAGTGTGCAAGAGCATACTTTGATTCATATCCACTGCTAAAAGTAACTTGGATAAAGTGACATTATAGTTTCCTCTTCAAGCAACTGGGAACAGGTATTACTCTTACAGAGCAATATAATCCTGCTTTCCCCAACACTGTTAATAAATTATTAGAAGAGCTGAATGATTCAAACAATGCAGAGCTTTACAGTGATCTGGCTAAACAGAGCACAGCAAGTCCATCATTTCCTCACCATCTCCTTACTACCAGCATGAGATCATTTCAGGGTATGCCCTTATGGTTTGTTAGACAGATCGCAGTAGGAGGAATGTGAATTCAATCACTGTAAATATGTCAGAGGCAGGTCACAGACCATGGGTGGACTGAGTAGTGAACAGGTAAGATGGAAGGCTATGTCTTATGCCCCCAGAATATCCAGGTTCCCAAGCAGATCCTCCTTTCTGACACAGTCCAAACGACCATCACCTTCACTGGGGTCAATTTTTACAGAGCTTGTTTAAGCAATTGCTTGTAGATAAATGGTTCACATCTGCAGTGGTGTAAATCACGTAACTCATCTGACTGCTCCACACTTAAACTGGTTGATTCCAGCAAAGGAACAGGTCCACTTAACATACTCTCAATCATACTGAAGAAAACAAAGGAGGCTTCTAAAAGAACAGTATCACTCACCTCGACTTTGGCTTCTCCCTCTCGTGGAGGCAGATGCTGTGAACAGCAATGAGAGAAAAGCAATATTAGTTTCTACTGCTTGTGTCATCTCTGAAAATGAACACAAATAGATCTTGCTCAAGAGTGCTCAGATTCAGACAGTAACCTTCTTTACTGGGGGCACAGCTGGGGGAATTGAACCCTCAGAGTTTTTACCAGGTCTCCTCTAGACCATAAGGTATCTTAAAGAATAAATAGCACCTTTAGCATTTCTGGACCAGCTGCTGTTTCTTTTTGTTCACATTAATGTTGTTCATAGATGGTGATCTTCCATTTCAATAGGCCAAAAGGAAGCTAACGGGCCTGCTCACCCCACTGGCCAAGGCTGGACACTATGAAACCCTGCCTCCTCTCTGAGCCAGAAAGACAGCCTGATCATATTGTTTCACTTTCTGCACTGAGTAAAATTGGTGGTTCAGAGTTGGGGCAGGGCAAGCTCATACCTACTGACAGTGTTCAGTTTAAATGTATCACTTGATAGCCAGTTCATTTTTCCATATAAATATGTTGAAGCCTAGAAAAGAGCTACTGGAAAAGTATATCCAGCAATGGCTCAAGATCCTGAGGGTCTGGGCTTTCTTGCTTGAAGCTGTTCTCCCAGCTACGGTGGGGAGAGGGGCAGTGGGAGGAATGTTACGAAGCATCCCATGTCCATGTTCTCCTGTCCATGTCCTATGTCATGTGGGGAGCACCACAAGAGCAGTTGAGTGTAGCAGATGTATGCACCCTCTGTTTGCATATGTATCAGCTACAGACCCTGCTGTCAGCTGTTAATGTACATCCCAAATGACTCCTCCAAACTCATGGAGCTGCACTGGCTGCCCAGTGCAGAGGCAACATAGGTAGAGCAAGACACAGCAATGTGCAAAAAGCCACCATAGTCACCAACTCACATGACCTCCCCCTAATGCTCAGAGGAACGGCTTTAAAAAGAACATACCAAACTCTTTTCTGGGGAACTCAGGAGAAGAGTTGGCACTGGAGCTCCCTGAAAAGAATAGAAAGGTGTTTTGCACAAGATCATTAAAAGCTTTCGAAACATGTCTTCCTGGTAACTGTCTAATCCCAGTGGGTAACAAACTCCATTAAAATAAAGCAATTCAGGATTACATAAAAGAGCTGCTCACGTCTTTCAACAAAAGTACATTGCAACTCCTTTCAGGAATGAGTGTTACTATAAATAGGACTTAAACATTAAAATGTGTCCCTGATGTCTTATTTCCTACTTCCTAGCAAAACCACAGTGGAATTCTTGTGCCATTTGGGACAATCCTGCATTACTGTGACCTCAGAGTGCACACTACACATTGCCTCCTTTCTATCACAAGTGCTGTGGTACCTTCATACGTTGCATGGCGGTTGACATATGTTTTTCTTTCAAATGTTGAGCCGGGTGATTTGGTGAGAGTAGAGCTGGGAGACTGGGTTTGTCTGTACCCGGCGGATGATGATGAATTCAATCTGCCACTTCCACCTATAGGTAAAATAAAATGCCATCAGGAAATTGAACATGTGCTCTGGATGTACACCCTGGGTGCCATGGGTGCTTTAGGCTACTGTCTTCTGAGCTGGACAAATTTGCATTGATACCTCACAACCAGAGATGGGCAAGAATGACATTTGGGTCTAACTTTGACTGTACTCAACATTCAACGCAGAGAGGAGTATTAGTTATCTTTGTGGTTTCAAAAAAAATCTTGCCAATGATATATATGCCAGCAGATTTTGGTCTAGGGGGATGAGCCATCCCCCCTGAGCAGGACTATATCTGGCTCTGGGTGGTGCTGGGTTTTGTTTTGGATACGGATCCACCTGTAAACTCAAGTGTTATATGAAAGAAGCCACATAAACTGGGAAATTGTTAAGCCAAACTCAAAGTGCTGAAGAAAGGATGCAGTTCATGAGATGAGGGAAAGCAGGGATGAGTCCATTTCCCTTCCAAAGCAGGTATGCACACTCTCCCTTAGTCATGCCTTAGTCAGTCTGTTTCCTGGAGAAGTGACTGAGGTGTGTGTCAGGCCCAAGGCAGCCCGGAGACTCTGAGTGGCTGTTATATTTAGACAGAGGAAAGAATTTCCCTTCCTAATTCACATCAGTGCTGTGGAAAAAGAACTGATCAGCCATAACTAATGTGTTCATACTCCTAAATGAAATCTCATGCTGGAGTATGACCAGTGCACAGCAGAAGGGAGCCCTGTGATAAAGTGCAACATATCCACGCTGATCAGCTGGATCAGACTGAGTATTGTTTACCCACCACTCCAAAAAGAGCTTGCCCTTCTGATCTCAACCAAGTGTTTTCTCGCTGACATTCCCCTCTACAAGGAGCCATTTTGTTCCATAACTTTTTGCACTTAATTCAGCAGAAGGAACTACTGTGACAAGTAGGCCTCTGTTGGAAGCATTCTGCAAGCAGAGTGGGAAAGCAGAGACTAGAAAATGCTCTGTAAAACTCCAAGAACTCATTATCTCTGAAGTTCAGATTCTTTCCTCTTCCTCCACACGCTGAAAAGAAATAACAAGGAAGATGGCAACCCTGCAGAGTCGTCTGCAGGGCTGGGTTCAGTTCTCAGACTGGTGCCAGTCTAGACAATTAAACTTACATCTTCACTGGAGTTACTTCACATCTGCCCTGAGGCAAAGCGATTCCACGCTCTGGCCTTTAATTGGCATGGCGCTGTCTGCCAGATCTAGTGGGCATGGCTAATTCTCCTGTTGAGCTTCCAAACTGCACTTCACTCCCTTTGGTTTTTTGTGCTCTTTTGGAGCATGGAGAATGTTTTCTGCAGGGATACTTATACCGTCTGTCCCACTGGGGACAGGGAGAAGAGTTTGCCAGAAAACTGGCTAGGAAGCTTATTCTTCAGAAACCTTTGCTGTGACAATCTAACTGCTGGGCAAAAAGTGCTGATATAGAAGAACCCTGTTTTAATGGAATAGACAGCACATACTGATTTAGTACATCCAGAAAATCTGTCAGACTGTTCGGACTGCTAAAGCCATGGACAGGCACACACAATAAATATTTTCTAGGAAATTCTTTAATAGTGTTCTATCTAATCCACAAGACTGTGATTGGGAAATCCTGAAAGAAGGGAAATTTCATTTCCCAATGATTTCTTAACAACAGTGGGAATGGCATTTTTGTTGTTCTTCTGCTGAAATCAAGTTTTCCCTATGGAAAATGGGAATTTTGCTATTTACTCACGCATCCTCACACCCAACTTTAGGGAAGGAATACCTTTGCTTTGAGTATTTGCCACTTCTACTTACATAAATCCTGTTTTCCTTATCTCTGGCTCACCCTACTTCCCTGCCCTGAATCTCTGCTCAGACCATTCAATGCTGCCTTTGCTCTCTGTTTCCACACTGTGCAACGTCCTCATTCCTTACTTGAAGTCACATAGCTGCTGCCATGGGTGTAAGACCTCTTTTCCACTCCGCTTCCTCCAGTGTGGGATGTTTTGAGCCCGCTGCTGCTGCCTCCTTCTGGAAGAGACAAGCACAAAATGAGACATTCTCTCAGGGTAAAAGATGAGAAGAGCAAGGACACGGCAAGACCGTCCTCACACTCAATTACAAGTACAGCTTCATGTCTGGTGAGATATCAGAACTGCAGAGAAGTGTCTTGGCAGAGCAGACAAGCATTCACACTGCAGACCCAGCAGGTTTGTATTCAAGCTTTGCTCCAGACATGGACTGAAGGATACTCCTGGTAACCCTCATCATAAATGAGATGATAGGGCAATTCCTTTCCAACCCAGCTGCAGCAAGCTAATCAAGATTACGGTGGTATAAAGAGCATGGAGGATTCTTCCCTACTTGATATTTGGACTTTCCTATAGAGGTAGAAATCACCTGTGACATCTATTACCCAAAAAGATTAACTCACTGTTGTCAACTGGGTAAAATGACAGGGCAATACCCTACAGCCTCAGCAGTAGAGGCTGCAGACCCTTGTCCCCAAGAGACAGTCACCACTGGAGACCCTATATCTGGCGTAAGGCCTTGGAGAGTCTGGTCTACCAGTCTTAGTGGACACTGTGACTTTGTTTCTGACGATACCCAGCCAGCTCCCCACATACTGCTCCTTCTCTCCACTAACAAGTATTTTGGAAGAGGCATTTCTGAAAATGGCTTCCCTTTGGGTGCAAGTCTTTCTGCACCAAGACCTCCCGCACCCAGAGATTTATGGAAATAATTCAGTCAAATAGCATGGAGGGGCACAGAACACTGACTGACAATTACTTACTGGGTGGTAAGGACGTCAATCTTGTGGTTACAGTCTCTGTAATAACTGAGGAAAGAAAAGGGTGCAGAAGTAATGGCATGTTAATATAGCCAAACAAGATAAATGTTCTACTTAATTTTCATGAAAAAACATGACTCATTCAAAGATCGACTCATTTAAAGAAAAGTCCCTTAAGATCACACTGCCTGGGGGCTACAGTCTCATCAGCACACAGTGCTGTGTGTTTGTTTCCAGGCATTTCTAACTCTACAGTAACTAAGAACATCACTGCCATGAAAAACTTTTTTTTTTTTTTTACAAGATCCCTGTAAAACATGGAAGTATTATTATTTCTGGTCACTTCTGAACCACAGCCATTGCTGTAACAGCACAGGCCATGGTCAGACCCCTCACTAGTTTTCCACTAGCTGATTCCTATAATGCCAGCAGGAAACTTATCCTCTGTTTTACACACAGCCAAAGCAGAGATCTAAAGAACATTTTCCAGGCCATGCAGGGCATTGATATAAGAGTTAGGAGGAGAATCCAAATGTTTGCACTTCTGCCTAGAAATGTTACCACAGGGCAGTCATCTGTGGCTAAACAACCAGGTCATGTCACATATCTCTAAATGTCTGATCTTGGCCCATTCTATTCCCATATTCTGACTCTAAGAGAGAGACCAGGGACAGGTGGGGAATTCCGTTCTGGACTTCTGGTCAGCATTCAATCCCTTACAAAACTGGGCACCTGCTTCTGGGATTTGTGGTGTGTCACCTAAACCGATGACATAAAAATAAAAAAAAGTCCTTCTTACGTCTTTCAGTAACTTCTGATCCATCTTGCCGCGTTTTCTTTGTTACAGAATCCATACCATTGCCACCTGCAGGGAAAGCAGAGAGACTGCACTCAGAGCTCTGTGAATAGCAGGAGATGACAACAGCCACCAACAGTCCCACCAGATGCCTCCCTTCAGCTGGGATCTACACTGCCTGGAAGACATCTGTGCCAGGGAGTTTACGGTGCCTTTCCAGAGTCATGTGAGTGTTATCAATAGAGCCAGCATCACTTGCCTACAAAACTGGATGCTGCACAATGCAACAGAGTTGAAACATGGCAGAGGTTGTAAAGCCAACAACAGGTGAGATAGGGGTAAATGAAGCAAATCCACTCAGTGCTGGAGAAGTTTAGACCTGGATTTATATCCAGATGCTGTGGCACCACACTACGGTCTTCAGCTGGGCCCCTATAAAGGCTTGATCAAAACCACAGGATCCAAACACCACTCCCACACATCTGCTCCGGGCAGGACTCAACAGCACAGGATTAGAAATGCAGGCAGGTACAGGAACCAGCTACCTACACCGTGCCAGTGCTGCCAGAAAAACCTAAGCAGAGACACTCTAGCACTGTTGACAGCAATACTGGGCATTCTCAAGGTACCGTGATGCTAAAGCCACAGCACTGACCTTAGTGAAGCAGAGAAACACCTGGAGGTACCTTTAAACTAGCTATTTTCACCAGCAAGGAACTTCAAGGTAGGAAGTGCTTTATCTTGCTTTACAGGCTGACCAGAGACACTTTGAGGACCCTGTCTACAGCGTTGGAATCTGATCTAATTTAATGCCAGCTCAGGTCAAGATCCCTGTAAAACATGGAAGTATTATTATTTCTGGTCACTTCTGAACCACAGCCATTGCTGTAACAGCACAGGCCATGGTCAGACCCCTCACTAGTTTTCCACTAGCTGATTCCTATAATGCCAGCAGGAAACTTATCCTCTGTTTTACACACAGCCAAAGCAGAGATCTAAAGAACATTTTCCAGGCCATGCAGGGCATTGATATAAGAGTTAGGAGGAGAATCCAAATGTTTGCACTTCTGCCTAGAAATGTTACCACAGGGCAGTCATCTGTGGCTAAACAACCAGGTCATGTCACATATCTCTAAATGTCTGATCTTGGCCCATTCTATTCCCATATTCTGACTCTAAGAGAGAGACCAGGGACAGGTGGGGAATTCCGTTCTGGACTTCTGGTCAGCATTCAATCCCTTACAAAACTGGGCACCTGCTTCTGGGATTTGTGGTGTGTCACCTAAACCGATGACATAAAAATAAAAAAAAGTCCTTCTTACGTCTTTCAGTAACTTCTGATCCATCTTGCCGCGTTTTCTTTGTTACAGAATCCATACCATTGCCACCTGCAGGGAAAGCAGAGAGACTGCACTCAGAGCTCTGTGAATAGCAGGAGATGACAACAGCCACCAACAGTCCCACCAGATGCCTCCCTTCAGCTGGGATCTACACTGCCTGGAAGACATCTGTGCCAGGGAGTTTACGGTGCCTTTCCAGAGTCATGTGAGTGTTATCAATAGAGCCAGCATCACTTGCCTACAAAACTGGATGCTGCACAATGCAACAGAGTTGAAACATGGCAGAGGTTGTAAAGCCAACAACAGGTGAGATAGGGGTAAATGAAGCAAATCCACTCAGTGCTGGAGAAGTTTAGACCTGGATTTATATCCAGATGCTGTGGCACCACACTACGGTCTTCAGCTGGGCCCCTATAAAGGCTTGATCAAAACCACAGGATCCAAACACCACTCCCACACATCTGCTCCGGGCAGGACTCAACAGCACAGGATTAGAAATGCAGGCAGGTACAGGAACCAGCTACCTACACCGTGCCAGTGCTGCCAGAAAAACCTAAGCAGAGACACTCTAGCACTGTTGACAGCAATACTGGGCATTCTCAAGGTACCGTGATGCTAAAGCCACAGCACTGACCTTAGTGAAGCAGAGAAACACCTGGAGGTACCTTTAAACTAGCTATTTTCACCAGCAAGGAACTTCAAGGTAGGAAGTGCTTTATCTTGCTTTACAGGCTGACCAGAGACACTTTGAGGACCCTGTCTACAGCGTTGGAATCTGATCTAATTTAATGCCAGCTCAGGTCAGTCTGCACAGTATTGGAATCACTGCTGTGAATGCTGTGTATGCTCTTCTTCCTGACTTGGATCCCTCTCTAGTCAAAATTATAGTCTCTTGCAGAATGACTGTCTGCCAAGGCAGGAATACCACAAACAAATGTTGTGATTGTGGAAAGGAAACATCAGCTGGAAGAGAAAACACTTCTGTCAGAAGTGTTATATACAGTGAAATATACAGTTACTCACTCCTGGTCTCCCTAAGATAACATTTCATCTTATGCAACCGCAAGTAATGTGAAGAAAGAGATTTTCTTTTACGCACAAGGTGATAATAGGCCAAAACTCTCCACTGCATTTGAAGACTCCTCCTTAAAACTGAAGGCCCAGCTGTACCAAAACCTATATGTTTAACAGGCTGAGTCTAAAAAAATAAAAACTTTGGGTAAAATTCCTTCCAAGTTTTAGAGCATTCAAGTTTTAGAGGCAGAATCCAAGATCGTGCTCTCCAGTTCAGCTACTTTTTGAGTTTGGTCCTCCTGATTCCACTTACCCTTCTGCAAAGTGTCTATCAAGTAGCCCCCTTGACATTACACTTGTACTGTCCGTGTATGAATAACGACAGAAGGCAGGATGCAGCAGAGAATCTGCAGGAATACCTGAAGTTCAGATTCAGTTCTGTCTTTCAGCAGCTCACTCAGCTATTCCCAGAGCTGGACAGGAACAATTTGAGTGTAGAAGGACACTAGTAGTCAAGCCACTTCAGCCTCCTATCACAGACTCAGCTGAACTTTGCAGAGAACGCCCACAGTGCCCACAGCCCTCACCCTCTGCCCCTCAGACCCTGAGCTCATCCAAGCAGTCATGTAAACGGGGCTCCTGAGGCCACATGCAAGTCCTTACACAACCTTGGAGGCCGGATATTACCCAACCCTTACAGTTTGCTGTACTTGCTTGCTTGCAAATACAGCTTGCTAACTCTGGGGATGTCCAAGGCATTATCCAGGGTGTTGATTCCAAGGCATATGCAAGACTGGAGCTACAGGCATTAGGAGAGCTCCTCCTCCAGCAGGATGGCAGTGCCCCACAATCTAAGGATTTCTGGCCATTCACTCCAAGGAAAGGCAATACCTCGCTGCTACTCTGCCTTATTGCATCAACAGTGGAAGCATCTTTCAAGCTCCTTCCCTAAAAACAGATACTGGAAGCTGTTGTCTAGGCGTCAGCGCTATTGGCATTGCCTGTGTTTTTGGCAGGGAACACAGCTTTGTGTTTGGAAGTGGCTTTCCTGTGGCTTTGTAGCCCTGGAACCCCACTTCCTTTCTGCTACTGGGAAGCGGTGCTGGTAATGGATGCTGGAAGAGGCCAGCACCACCATGGAGTGAATGCATCTTCTGCACCTTTGCCTTCCCTTGAGAAAGGGGAACATCTTGCTCTGATACCAATTCAAGAAAAAATTACAAGAGCTCAAACCACATCTTTGTGGTCACAGCCCAGCCCCAGCACATGGTACATTTCGATCTCTGTTGCATGTGTGTTTGCCTCTCAACTGGAAAAGCCAGCCCAGGCTCCAGCAGGCTGACTGAGCTGGATTTCCATTTTCTGCCAGGAACTGACTCATTTCACCAGCTCCTATCAGGATTCACAAAGACATAGCTGTGGGCTATGTCTGTGGCAAAGCAATAGTGCTGTCGAATCAGAGAAGCCACCTGCAATCATCTCTGAGCAACAAGCAGGAACTTGTGAAGCGGGATGACTCTCAAACGGTGCAGGCAGCACAAGACAGGGCAACCCCATGGCTTTAAGATAAGCTCAGGGGTCGTAGCACACCCCTGGCACCCACAAAACCAGGGAACTTGCAGACCTTAATGGCACTAGGAACCAGGAGAGGTCTAGCCCTGCTGTTCTTGTGCACACTGTCTCCTCTCTGTTCACCACTGAGAAGCAGGATGGTAATAGCTGCCCAGTTTTACAAAGTGTGCTTAGATCTGTGCTTTTCACACAAGCCCGACACCGCAGGGTGTCTCCTGCACCCCCTGTTCCACCAGACTGCAGCACCACACTGGCAAGGATGCTAAGCCAGTCCCAGATGGGACATTCAATCCCCTTTTATTGTGTGCAATGGTAATGAAGTTTATTAAAGACACTTTTCAAAGAGGAGGGGAATAGCCACAAAGATATATATTAATGGAAAAATGAAAGCGGGCATCTTTTATTCCTCCATAATGCCCTTCTAGTTCTCATGTCAGAGTGCTGTTACACTCTCACAGCACATCCTTTCAGCTCCTTCCTCCCTCCATTAACAAGGCTCCTGCTGTGAGACACTCCATTAGGAGAAAGAAGCATCAGAAGGTGACGCGATTAATAGTATTTAATGTCAGTGGAACCATTTGATCACAAATAATCTGGGACTCAGTGGATGCCTCCAGACCATGACATTGACGATGTTAAAAGCAAATGCCATGGTTCCCATAATGTTAAATGTCTCTTAGGGTGCCCCGTCCTCTTAATGAATCCTTTCAGGTATCACTGTCCTGGGACTAATAGAACTGGTTAAAAAATGGCCTCTTACTTCTCTTTTACCCCACAGTCTCAAAACCTGACCTTCTCATTCTGCTTTAAAAGCTGTTCCCTTTACAGTTATTCTACCAAAACCAACACAGTCAGAATCAAATCAACGAAACCACGCTTCCAAATCTGCTCATTTTGTAGACTCGTTGAAATGATGGCAATGTCAGGGAAGCAGGTTGGATGCCCAACCAAAGCTTGGACGTGCTGTAGGAATTCTGCTCTGCTCACAACCTGTCCTGGCTTCTTTGACACCAATATATGCTTATTTCCCAGAGCACAGGCATGAGCACAGCCCAGACTTCACTCCACACTGCCAGGTGCCTTCCTTTCAAAAATGTGCCCTCACTGTGCCTACTTAATTGTGCTACCCAAA